AAGAGCAGAAGTATCTCGGCTTTATCTGGAATGGGAGAGACAGAACAGTTAGACTCCTGACAGAGAAACTTAATGAAAGAATCGAGAAGATAGAAGACTTACTTTCTAGAGAGAAGAAATGCAGCAAGAAAGAGATAGAGAAAATTACCGGACAATTGAGTCATTTGACATCAATCTTACCAGACATGAAGGCATATATGTGGAGTTTATATAGATTTGACAAGTCCTGGTATAACCATAGCGCTCTACGAGATCTCCCAATGGGAGCGAGAGAAGAGTTGCAAGATTGGAGTTATGCTTTGAAGAACTTTGATCGAATGAAAATTGTTCCCGACATCAAACCCGAAGAAATCAAGTGGGTTGGTGACGCGAGCACAGGTTACGGGATCGGGGTTTTAGTTGGTGATCGGTGGTCTCAGTTCGGGTTGGAACAAGATTGGAAATCAAGAGAAATTTCACAAGGCTGTCAACAGCATGACATTGCTTGGTTAGAAACTGTGGCAATTCGACTTGGCTTACACATGATCGAAACCCTTATCCCCACCAACAACCGTCAATTCATAGTCTATTCAGATAATACCACCACTGAAGCTGTGATAAACAACCACAAATCGAAACATAAGTTAGTAAACGATGAATGGAAATTAATCCAGAAGAAACTTAGACAACTTAACTGTGATATTAAAGTCAAAAGGGTAACTTCCGGAAATAACGACGCAGATCAACTGTCGAGAGGTATCAAAGAAAAAGGAACAGAAGACCTCGAGGTACTATTCGATATACCAATTGACTTGAGAAATTTAATAAAAAGAAGCTAACTTCATCGAAATGAATGATGAAAAGAAGATAGTGACGTTTTTGAAAAATAGAACAGGGTACGTTAAAAAAAAAAAAAACGGTCTTACCTTCAAAAAAAAAAAAAACTAATTTAAGTCCATTGTATTGCTTTCCTTTTGTCTCGGCGAATGATAGTGAGATAGATTGGAAAACAAATAGATTGAAAATGCACTTACTGTGTGGGAGTTGGACTCAATCGACGCTAGAAAATTATAGCTCGGCAATATCGAAGTTGGAGAAGTTCGGCGAGTTTCACAAGATAGAGAGAGTTGATTTACTGCCTTTATCACAAGATCGATTATGGGAGTTTGTGGTGTGGGCTGGAAGGCAATACAACGTTAATTTGGAAGACAAAGACATCTTGGAGAACTTACACGCATCTCATAAAATAACTGCTGGTACTCTGCTGAAATATATCACCGGTATAAGATCATGGCACTTGTTCCATGACCTTCCATTTCCTCCTGAAAATGACAAAACATTAAAATTATTATTGAAAGCATCAAGTGTAGCTGACGTCGAAGCAAAAAGAAACTTAGAGAAAACGAAAAAGCCCGTACAATTACAACACTTAGTGGAATTAGCGAAAGATTTGTCCAAAGGTAGTCATATCGAAAGGATTGCTTTGACAGTTGCTTTAGTGGCCTTTTGGGGAATGGCGAGGTTGGGTGAACTGGTAACGGATAACACGTCAAAACAAACAATTAGGAGCATGGATCTGATTCATAATCCAGAGAAAACGTACATTGAAGTCGCAATATATAACGCAAAGACCGCGAAGCCAGGTGAAATCCAGTGGCTAAGACTTCAAAGACTCAATTCCTTACTATGCCCAGTGGCAGCCCTTGAACGCTTATTCAATGAGTCATCTTTACCTTCAGTTCACACGCCAATTTTCTCCTATTGGGACAAAAAGAAAAACCTCAACAGATTGTCAAAGTCCAGAGCAATCAGCATATATAAGAAAGTTTGGAAAAAGTATGACAGAAAGAATCAATTATCCAGGCATTCATTCAGGGTCGGAGGTGCGACTTACAACTGGAATGACAAACAACCGCTAGAGGAAATCGTTTGATTAGGAAGATGGCAATCGAAAGCCTATCAGGTTTATCTAAAGAAGTGCTCAGACGAAGAAATTAGAGATGCACTATACATTTGGGGAATTACCAAAACTAAACGGGAAGAATGATTGTGAGGAAAAGGAGTTACTGAAAGGAGATAAAGCTGTACCTAGTGTGATATGATTGATCGATGTTAAGGAGAATTCAATGAGATTGCTGCTTCAGATTCACGTTTAGGTATGTTATAATTGAGATAGCGGTGTGATTGATATGTTGACCTGTCAATAAGAGAAGTTTGTTAGACTTTCGGGAGGGGAGCGATAAGAGTTGGGGAGTGAGACTCTCAGTACGTACCGAGGTGGCTCTCCGCAGGCTCCGGATGATAAGTCCTGAGAGATGGTAGCAGAGAGCCTACCCGGCCCCGAGACTTACGGCCTGACGGCCCCCCCCAAACACGCGAGATACATTATTAACCTTTTATAATGTATTAAGCTTAAGAGTCTTTTGGCTAAAGTAGGAGTTCTGAGCACTATGTTAATGATACAATGAAAGGAATAAATGAATAAAATAGAAGACTTTAAAGATAATTTGAAATAAAAATAAAGAAAATAGATTATGAATCAGACTTTAAATGCAATGTTACAGGTGCCCAAAGGCACGACGGTACCTGTATAATTCCATGTAAAGTCAGACAGATGAGGATAAGATATGTAAGAGCCCGGTACAGAGAAACTCTTGGTACCGGGCAGGAAAAAGCGTAATGCATACCAACCCCCAACGCTTTTTCGAAAGTGAAGAATATAGTCATCTTCTTTACTTCTTCACTTTCTCACAAATATTATCCAAAAATCACCTCATCCATCCTTTCCTCTTTTTCGTAGCAAAAAGTAAAAGGTAATAATCTTAGTAATCTTTTTCTTCTTCTTCATTTCAAATAATTTCTTTTGACCATCCCACCCACCCCTGCACCCTGCCGCGCAGAGAGCCTACCCGGCCCCGAGACTTACGGCCTGACGGCCCCCCCCAAACACGCGAGATACATTATTAACCTTTTATAATGTATTAAGCTTAAGAGTCTTTTGGCTAAAGTAGAAGTTCTGAGCACTATGTTAACGATACAATGAAAGGAATAAATGAATAAAATAGAAGACTTTAAAGATAATTTGAAATAAAAATAAAGAAAATAGATTACGAATCAGACTTTAAATGGATAGGTTGTCAAAGCCGCAATCAGGTATTGCTGTGGAGAGTGTTTGAAGCTCCGACCAGCTCGGTAGACTCGAGAGCCTTGAGGCTCCCCACTTTCTCATCACTATCAACGCAGTTGTATAGTGTCTGCCCAGATTGTACATTTATCCCACCCCTTCCAAAAGGGTTAAAGAAATTTATATATATGATATACCACATCCAGATCACCAGCAAAAGTCCTTCCAAAACAAATGCCTGCCGACTCATGCAATGATGACATTTGGTTGTAAGCACCGGAGAGTTTTCACTACCTTCAACCTCAGATTCACATTTATTTTGGTCTCGAGTAGGCTTTCTCAGACGTCAGCATTGTCGTATTGCCAAAGTAAAATTTTGGTTTCATCTAATTCAAACAATTCATTCGTCTATCTTGAACTAAATTTCTTGAAATCCTTTCTGATTCCTTCTCCAATCTTTGTTTGATTTTAGGATGGATTTCCAACTGCTTTGAACGGGTTCCATCAACTGTTACCTTGTGGTGTAGATCAACACAATGTTTTGATGGGATTGTAATCTCATGTCTGTGTGGCGGCTGGGCGCCAATTGCCTAGTATATAATAAACTAAAGGATGGTCAACAGCTCCTCAATACAAAGGTAATGAGGGATTATTGCAAAGGATTGCACGTGAGTGTAACGCGTGAGACGCAATGATGCTTTCACATCATTTTGTTGGGGCTACGTCACATAGCACTGTAACCAATTCTTGTATCTAGAAGATTCCTCCTAGTGCCCAAGAATTTGATTGACATAGACTTCATAATTAAAACATGATATACATAGTACCTTACAAAGAAACATTTTTTTTTTCTTGCTAAACCAGTTCTTCCGTGACAGATCCTCTATTCATCATACAACACACACTTATATTTGAACCTTTTTTTGTATTGTATACTTATGAATGTGAATCAAATACCAAAGAATGCTATAGTTAGGGTCCTGCTAATTTCCTTGACTTGCGGTGGCTGGATAGGTGCTTGAGAAAGAGCACCGGTCTTCTGGCGTCTTCCTGATGTTTTACCCAGATATGCACTGGAAAAAGGTGCCTATATCATGAAATGTTCTCACACTGGGTAGGTCCTGTGATTCTGCTGCCTACCTAGCTACAGCAGCAGGTAGGTGTCAGAAAAGAGCACCTACCTAGGTAGGCATTGGATTCTGAAGACGCTGAGACCAACCTGGTTAGGTGGGCTTTGTATGGCACCTACATGACTTTCCTCCATCTCAGTGACCTATTCACAGTCCCCAATCACAGTTCACTAGCAGGCCAGGGCAATCAACTACATCAGGATATTATTGGATATTTATTGACAATATATTAGACAATTAAAAATTAGTTATTGGACAGATATCACAGATTTCTTAGGCAAATATTGCCCAGTTCTTATGAATTCATTGCCCTGTTAATAATCAAGCTATGAACAGGTCTTTATAGTCATTCTCCAGTGAGTATCAAGTCATCACAAGCAATTTCCAATTCCTTATCAATTCAATCATCAGACCTGCTCTTTCCATCACCACAATGGGAGGGCAGGACATGTTTCATCCTACATTGCACGTGTTGGGTGAAGGAAAAGATGATTTAACATGGTGAGAGGAAAGATTGGGAAGGATGAGAAACAAGGCCTATTGATGTTGTTGAATACCTTATCTTGATTCTTGACACCCATGATGCCAACATCATGTCAATGCTCACCGTTCAAGACATGGTCCAGTTCTTATGTGTTGCAGCCAACGCGATCAAGAACAAGTTGTCACGACCTCAAAAATAAATTTCAACAATTAATCAAAACCAATTTCAATCCATTGAACTAACTCATTCTTCCTTTTTTGCTTTGTTTTTGCATTGACAATCAATGTCAGAATTAAAATTAAACAGGTTAACAGAAGATAATCAAAGATTAAGAGAAGATTTGGCAAGATCTCCGAATCGATTAGAGTATCAGAAGCTAGTTCAAGAGAACCATCTCTTGTTCCTCTCTTGTTTTTGGAAATCACAATCTATGACTTTTTGGTTTTGGTTTTTTGATTAGTTTAATCAGATTTTGTAAAACTAGGGATTATTTAGTTCTTCTTTTGGGGGTCCATTAGGTCAAGGTGAAGATCCTTATGCTCCACAGGCTGATGCTGCTTGTTGTGATGTGATGTGAATTTATTCGTTCTTTTTTCTTTGACACTTTCTTCAAATCTTTTTTCATTGTTTTTTTTTCTTTTATTTCATTCACGTGTATCGTTTTCTTTCTTCCTCTTTTCTTTTGTTTATTCTGATGCTTTGATGTGTTGTTGTTTTCTTTGGAATCGTAATTGGATCTTTTTTTTGGCTTTGGAAAGAATCTTTTTTACATCTTCGAGTGGTCCCTTTCCTTCTTGAGGTTATCAATGTTCATAACTTTTTGAATGAGTAGATACATTTTCGTTTGAATTCAACATCGATTGGGTTTTCAAGAGAGGACTCAAATGAAAAAGGTTTGATGGTTTGACTTGCTCCGTTTCTTTTCTTCGTTCGTCTTTACAATTCGGGTTTGGTTTCTTTCCTTCCCTTTGGCTGCCGACGTGGTAGCGCGTTCTAAACTGTCCCTTGAGCTCACTACACTCCGAAGGCCTATACGATGCCTTGCTGCAAGTTTTCCACTGTCCATCACTTACAATAAATGAAAGAGCAAGTTTTGTAAAAAAAAGTGCCACGGTGAAGGTCCCCTTAACACACAAGTCTAAGAAACCCCATACGGTCAATGAAAAAAGGTGTTACATACTAACAAGTCCGCTCCATCGTCACAGCTAAGCGTGATGTGGCAAACACAGAATCTGTCAAACAAAACAGGTCTCATGTAGTTGGGGACTTGTGGCTTTCCACTTTGAGAATGTGCCCATAAAGTGCAAACTTCACCAACCAAAAGGTGAGTTGTGATGTGGTGGCTACAGGATCCGTCAAACAAACTGTGGTTGCTTTCCACTTTGAGAAAAGTGCTCATAACAGGCAACCCTGCAACACTGTGATATGCGGTTAAATAAGGTGAAATATCAAACCAAGACAAAAATTGTATTGGTGGATGTAGGTTAGGGAAAGTCTGTTTTCACAAGGCAGCTGGCCGCCCAGGGTCTAGTCCATCACTATTTGAAGGTGTCCTGGGACGCTTCTTTCATCATGATACGTATGGTTGGAGGGAGCCAACCACATTGTGCATAGCTGCAAAAAACACATTTGCTTTTGGCTTTTGAAACGAAGGTGCTTACTACAGGGGCTGCAGAGTAGGGTCTCGAATAATCCACCGGTGGAATAATCTAGACTCAGAGTGAACTTTCATTCATCTTCATTCTGATTCCTAGGTTTCAACTTCAGTCGCACCGGTGGCTGTACATACCACGGGGAACGACTGCCGACCTTGCAAGGAAGCAATTGGGAGCAATTGGTTCTCCCGACCCATGCTACAGCATGCTACCTCAAGCCATGTAGTCTATATTCAACTACTTAAAACATTTTCAAAAAAGACTGAACTGGAGCTGATTCCTGAATCTTCGTCTAACTGAGGTACAATGTATATATATACTGCCATCTTGATGACCCTCTCTCCCCTTCCCCCTCCTTTCGTACGCTTACAACTTGCAATACCTCAATCGACATTGATCTCACCGTTTTACTGTAACAAAGATGCTAAACGTCTATCCAAAGATCTTTTTTCTACTCTGTTCCCTGTTGATTCATGGCCTGAAGGCCGACTACTATTGCAACGTAGGGTATACAATTGACACAGACGGGGACCCAGGTATGCGATTTTATCCTCTTCACAATCTGCATCCTGAGCTAATGTGGGTCTGTATCGTGATCGATGACAACGAAAGTGTGCGAGTCGAGATACCCTAATACACTGAGGTACAAATGCCACAAGGACAGTTGTTACAGTGAAGGTGAGTAAATCTTTATTGCCTTTGATATAGAATCTGTGAAGCTGATCAGGGTTATCCGTTCTATGTATTTTAGTGTCAACAAATAAACCAATATCCATTACGATGTACTCATGCCAGCGCATCAGATCCAATGGGTCATTGGATCCCGCCGTGACGAGTCAAGATTGCACGACATATGAATACGATGCGTTTGCGAAGAATTATAGTCAGTATCTGGAGTCTTGAAGGCTGAAGCCCTTGTTCCTCATATAATGTCTTATTGAAGATCCCTTTCGCTCGTCTATTCAGATTGTGAAACCAACGACAACGTTTCTTATGCTTGCGCCGAATCGCCTACTGACATTGAGCCCATAAGTTAGTGATATCCTGTCATTCATCATAAGCTTGCCTAACTGAAGATGTGTTTTTTTCTTGTAGAATGCTCCAATTGCTCTTAATAGAACACAAGATCAACAGATACTTGGAAATCTCAGACTCGTAGCATCCTATGGAATAGTAAACAAAAAAAATCTCTTCCTGATTGATCAGTTTCAATTATACTCTGATTTGTAGGCTGTCATCTTAGATCTTGGTCAAAGTCAATTTATGTTGACTATTCACATCATGGTTAGATTTCCAACGTCCTAGTGATATGCATACACAAAGTTCTTGAGTGTTATACTATCTGTTTCACAAATCCGTGTTCCAAATCTCGTAGGTGATCAGCTAGCCTCTTGCTGGAGGCACGAGGCGCAAGACACATCCATGAAGGGAGTTACCTCGTAGGTAAAATAAGACCAAAGGAGACCAGAGTATACGAAATAAGATCCAATCCGGATCAAAGGAGATCCAAATACACGGAAGTGGGAAAAGGGAGACCGCGCTCCACTCATCAATTTGAGTAGAGATATACATACTGGTCCAGGAGCTTTTCCCCTTCTTCCGACTAAATTTCATCCTCCTTTACTTACAACTACACCACAAGGACACTCGAATGTCCTTGGGACGCCCGTTTTTCTTTGCAGGCGGACGGACGTCCTGACGGAGCGCTCTGCAAGACACCACCTCGGACATCCGAGGTCGGACTTCCCAAAAGGGCCGATAGGCAGCCCTGTGGAGTCCCTGGTGTGAAACCTGTGGGCATCGGTCACTGTTGTTGTGAGGACGCCAATAGCGAAAATATCCTAAGGGAAGCTTCACGCTACCCTTCAAGGATCCCTCCCGACAAGTTTGGGAGAAACGTCAGACGCTGTGTAGCTGACCGGCTTGAGGCATCTGGTGGACACTGTATAGGGTGTCATCAAGACATCTTTTTGTATGTTTCTTCACTATAAAACAATAGTAACATTTGGTTTTCGCTTTGATTTGATCAAGATAGTTGAGATGAATGGAATCATACATAAATATTCAATTTCTGCAGGTTGAGCTATGTAAGCATGCGACAAGAACACCAAATGAGATGAAAGGTAGAATAACATGGGGAGAGAGGACTAATGATAAACAATCGATGTACACTTGAAGACTATGCAGGGAAACAGAGAGCAAGAGGTAAGATGAAGACTTGATCAATTACAAGTAATCAAGTCTTTGCTCATACATAGATCACTCGGCATTTGAAGACATGAAGTCAATTGCTTCTGATACATCATCATCAGTGGGAACCCTAAACTTTTCGTCTGACTTGATGTCAAAGATTGTCTTATTGCCATCAAAAAACCCTTGATCAGTTGCTATAATAATCGTATCAAATCTGGTACAACCAAGCACAAAGTCAAAAATATGTCTCAATCTGCTAACTTACGCTCGACGATAAGCCCTTTTTTGACCACGAAGATTTTCAAGCTGTTGATCAACCCAAGCCCAATGCAATTGACCAGGACGGAGCTTGCGGTCGACTTGGTTGGTGTAGTTATATATCGCTGCCTCAATTCTCTGTAGGAAAAACAATATTGGCTATGAAAGAGTATGGAATCAAAGAGTTTTCAAAGAAAACTCACCAGATAAGCAAATCGAGCTTTGGCCTTTGAGTCCATCTCAGCCTCAAGTTCTTTTGCAGTGTGAGGATCTTGTGGATTAAAAAAATGATTCAACTGTAAAATCGTTTTTTTAATCAAAGAAGATCCCGGGTTTCACATGACAAGTAATAGAAAGCGAAAAGGAATGACTTACCAGTAATAACAATTCAGACAGCTTTGGAACCGGCTGCGCGGGTTCATCTATGTTTGCGTGAGTTACAAGCATATTGGTTAAGAGCTGAGATAACGAAGTTAGTTTGGGCAGTTGTTTCATGAGATCCGAAAGAAATGAACGTACAACAATCCTAAAGTCGTCCCGGACGTGCCTAACCTTGCCTCCAAAAAACTTCATGAACACCTCATGTTTCTTCAAATCAGTCAATGTAGTACCAAAATCTTGAGGTAAATTTTCGGATTTCCATGAGTCGGATTGGCTGATGATAGCGTTCTACATGTGTAGAAAAGTGCTGAGCTGCTGAAAAACATATGAGTATGTACATATAAAAGAGACGTACCATAGCAACCTTTTCAAATGATCTTTGTATGGGCTTTTTGTGGGAATCGACTCGGTAGGTGTAAGATTCCATTGTATGGTCTCGCAAGGTCTCGCGTATGATCTTGGTTAGTCGGGTCTGGGAATGAACAAATTTAGTACACGCTACTTCATTTAAAGTAACGTGCTTACCCCCAAATCAGCGGCAGGCTTCCAGGTGCTAGCAGATCGAAGTTGTGACACTACGTTATCCATATCTTGACGGGTCTTCTGCAATAAGCAGATGGATGCGTGATATTGGTTTTCAGAACCAGTGATCTAAAACAATACCATGGTAAGTAACCAGGGTGACATATTGATGGAAAGGTGCCTCGCCGAACTGATTCGAAGTGCTTCTGGTCGATGTTTAGAATCGAGGTCAAATATATCAGCGAGCTGATTCCATTTGGTTCAATCTCCTGGGGCCATAGGTAGATTTGTTGAAGGGATTTTGGGGTGCGCAGCCATAAAAGGGTGTTGACTGGTGCGTTCGGAGGGAGGTGTTTGATCTTTCGGAGACGATCAAGGGGATTCGTCGTCTTTTTGGTTTTGGAGATCCATTTCATCATCATCATCGTTTTGTTCTTTGTTCCTACCGCCTAAAGGAAATGTTAGGAAGACTTGATTACATGAGCAGTACAGGAAGTTGATACCTTGGTTATTAGTCTGGATTTGAGAAGTATCGGAACCAACAAATCTCAAAGAGGCGGGAAGCGCATCGGCCCTTAAAGCTTCATCAATCCAAAAAAGATTTGAGACCAAGATACAACTGAGAGTAAGTGAAGAACTTACGTGGCGAAACTGAACGTGAATCACGAGTTCGCAAGTTTGGACGCTGGGATTCACGAAAAGGCATGACAAATGCTGAGTGTTGAAGAGGTGAACAAAAGCGAAAGAAGTGATAAGTTCGAAGTCAACAGAGGTCGAACTGTGAACAAAGATGATGTGGCCACTTTTGATTTGGTCAAACCCGTTCAGTCATCAACTTGTCAAAGCGTGGTTTAATGAACAAATGTGCGTGCCATCACTGTCACATGTTCTCCAGTGCACCAAGCTCGCAGGCTTGATGGACTTGTTATTGATCTATCGATAAGCCAAAACGATCAATAAAAAGAATATCGTCAAAGAGAGGTCAAAAGGGGGCTTTTTGGTTTATAAACCACTCGTTTGAAGTGGTTCCAACCCTTGATTTGACTGGTAAAAGAATATTGTCAAAGAGTGTTCGAGAGTTCAAAAGGGGACTTTTTGGTTTATAAACTGCTTGTTTGAAGGGGTTCCAACCCTTGATTTGACTGGTAAAAGAATATCGTCAAAGAGAGTTCAAGAGTTCAAAAGGGGACTGTTTGGTTTATAAACCGCTCGTTTGGAGTGGTTCCAATCCTGGATTTGACTGGTTTTCAGGTACACTCTTTATTCATTCTCTGAATTGCAATGGTCTGGTTAGGAAATGGACATGAAACTGATTCAAATCTCAAACAACGCTGGGTCAATATCTTCACGTGGTACAATATCTTCATGTTTCCTTTTCTTACCTTTTGTTTTGGCCTTTTGGTTGTTATCCTTGTTTGCTTTGTCTTGTTTGGCTTTATCTTTCTTTTCTTGACTATTTTTCCAATTATTGATACCCATCTTAATGCATTCCTCCCATTCTTCGTTTGTCCATTGAGTGTATTCAATGTTTGCAACAGCCCTATGATCTTCAGGTGAATATAACGCACCCGAGTTCAAGATGTACTCATCAACGGGTTTATGAACCATCTGATATGGAGATTTGACTGGCATTTGTCCGTCGTGTCTTGGTGGGCTGGATAGTGGCTGACAATTGAGGAGATGACAATTATGCTGGACGTTAAGCACACACCTTATCTTCTGTGAAATAAATGGTGTCATTCAAGTCCATAATTGGAATGTCCATTCAGTTTGAAAGACATACCTCCACAGGAATCCACATACTTTCTGGGGTAACAGTCAAACCTTGAAAGCCATAGAAATCATCAACATCCTCATTTAAACGACAGGCCTTCACCTTTGCCAATAATTTCAAACTATTCTTGTAGGTACCTTGCCAGAAGCTTTCGATTTTACCAACTTTAGGAGTCTCTTCCCCCGGTAGCACAAGGAAAACGAAGTTGTCCATCCTTACACGCTGGCTAGATCAAAGATACAATACTTTCTTTTGTAACCAGCCAAATTTTGGGAACGCTTCTTTAATATCACTTGGTGGTAAGCTCTCATTGATGTTGCCTACAGGTGAGAATGAAAATGATGGTATTAGATGTTTTGCCAAAAAAGAAGGTTCGTGAAAGGGAGTATCACAAACCTTTCATTGAAATTGAGCCTTGTGAATTCCATGTTTGATTATAAGCCAAAGTATCCCGGACCCATTCATTATTCAAGAATAAATTGAGTACTTCTTTTCCTGCTTTTGCTCGGCACTGATACTTCTCATCCCAGAATGAGCCACCAGATAGCAACATTTGCATCAGACATGCACAAAGAAAGGTTGTTGCAATGTGTAAGCCTGGACCGTGACGGTTCGAATGAATTGAAGCTAAGCGTGTTACACCGTTAAAGCCTTCGTTTTTTTCAGTTGCAACTAAACGTAATGGGCCAAACCGTTTGATTGATTCTACTAAGTGGACTAGCATATGGAACTTCGGTTTGTTTGTCCACTGTGCCGTCCATCGGATGATGTGACCAAGAAATATATTGACCAATATCTTCAGTTTTTTCTCGTAAGAAGAAAAGTTGGTAATGGAGGTTTGAAAGATAAAGGAACAAAGATGTGCTAATGCCGTCCACATACGTCGTCGCTCGTAGGAGATATGTTCATACAATACAAAAGGTATTGCTTGTATGACCGTTCGAAAATCTTTTCCCACTAAGCTCTGGTAGAATTGAGTCATTGTCTTGGGTTGAATTGGTGGAACTTTGAGGCCGGAAGTATTGAACGATTTCCATCGTGCCAAAATTGAAGGCAGAGCTGAATCCGGAATACTATCCATAGCATCCTTCAACAAATACTTGATAACCCCGAGTAAAACCACATGGAGAATCTCCACAGGTGTATCTTTATGTGCGTCAAACCCTGATATAATTCCATCAGATTTATACTTTAGAAACAAGTAAGAAATGGACAAATTGAGAATCATACCTTGCAGCCGCAAAAAGGGGTTGAACAGATGTTCTCCAAATTTTTCATTCAGATCGTCAAACATTTTTTGAACCTCTTCATTTGAATATTCTTTATCTTGGTGTAGCTCATGAAACCACTCAACAAATTGAACTTTCATAGTGTCACGAATTCCATAATCTTTTGCTTTCTTCAAGAATTCAGTGTATTTTTTTGGATTGCGAAGAAGGTTCCAAAGTTCAACGGTTTGTGCCTTTGTCACATCCCAATCTCGCGGTCTAGGTCCTCCCTAAAAAGATTACAACTATGTCAAAAATATCCAGCTTTTTTTATAATTGCAAAATACACATACCTCATCTTGATTTAAACCCACAAAGGCTCGAGTATATTTAGCATCTTGTTTCTCAGCAATTGTTTCAACACTCAACATACATATCCGACAAGGGTTCAATGTAATTGAAGGGTTTGTTGTGTTTGAGATCTCCGCGTGCATAGGAGAATCACCAAGATGACAGAGAGGAACAATCATGACCAGGACATCCTCCTTCAGAATTTCGTTGTAGGTGGAAAATCCCTCGGTTTCAAGTGTGCTACATAAGTAGAGAAACAAGTGAAAAGTAAGCGTTTTTAATTGATTTGAAAAATTGTTTAATAAATGAGTACTTCAATTCGTCTACTACGTGATCACCAAGTTCCAGAGCGCTCAATTTATTTGAGGTAGCAAGGAAGTGAATGTTGTACTCCTGATTCGTCATTCCAGGAGGTAAACCGGATAATGTGAAATAATAACTCATGTGTTTATTCCACTTTTTTGAAACATTTCCGGAAGTATCATCTGAATATAGTGTGATAGGGACGTGTCGAATCACTTTACCATTTGCTTTAGTTCGCCATGGGTTCGGCAGAGGTATCTCTTGGTACTGATCACCATCAAGATTACGTTCTGATTGTATACCGTACCAAAAGGATCAGACCAAACAGGAAGTGTCAACAGAAGGAAGTGTAAAAATGAATCATGTATGATACATTACACCTCCACATTGTTCTTCCAGAGAAAGACCATTTTCATCTTTTGAATCTATGAAAGTTTTTCTAAGAGAATCAATTGAAACTGTAACTAGAAAGGGAGAATCAAACTCCTGGTGTGAATCAACAACAATTCTTATTCCATGATTAACACCCTGAGGTACAGTTGAAGGTTTTAAGCATTTGGCGTAAGCTTGGCCCGCCCGCTGAAAGAAGAAAATTGGCACAATCCACTCTCCTGTAGTTCGACACACTGGCTTGTAAAGGAAGAAGTGTCTGTTAGGAGAAGGAACCATTTGTACTCTCTGGCTCCGAGAGAATCCTTCCAGCCATTTTTTAGATTGTGATAATCTGTTGATCTGAACATCTATGTTGTACTCAGGAATAAAAACTAAGTGCTTTGTGACTATAGGATTTGCAAGCTCCTGATAGCACATTTAATTATCAGCCAGGATCGGAACAATATGAGGGAAATTTAAAAACAACACAACACTTACCTGAGCTATGATTTCCTTTATACTCAGTCCGTAACATTTATTTTGAAGTGAACTTTCCCATCTGACAACGTTAAGACCTAAGCGCGTACACAATTTTGATTGCAAGTTTCGTAGAGTCTTGTATGCAGGTATGACGACATTAAACAAACAAAACACAAAGCGACCTCGCTCGTACTGCTTTTCAGGAAGAATATGACGACCTGACCCCAAGAGAACCAACCCCGCGATCTGCTTTCAAAAGGGATCAATATAGAATCAATACATTGTTACATTCAATTTGGAAGGAAGGAGATTAAACACCTCTTTTTGAAAGGGATACCAGTCAGAATCAAAGGATTCTTTCTTTTGATTATGACCTGTTTGTTCAGGTTTTTCAACCGTATCATCATTAGAATCGGATATTGACTCTTGTGAAACAGAGTCGGTCTGGCTGCACTGGATATCTTCTAGTCGTTTTCGTAGAATTGTTTCGAAGTCGAGCTGAGGAAGACCTGGAAAGTCTTGATCATCTTTGGAGCGATCGGAATCCCCGTCATCATCGTAAAGGCCAGCTATCATCTTCATCAACGTCTCAGTATAACCGACAGAAGTCGGCTCAGGTGTGTTTATGTTATCATCTTCCTCAAAGCCCAGGAATTGGGGTGCATCATTATTGGGCTCATCGTCATTTTGAAGGAATGAGCCTAGATGACGTTCATTCTCGCGGTTTCGAGCCTCTGATGCTTCCTCATCAGCCACCATAGCCTTGTGAGTTTCCGAGTTTTTATGACGAGATGTGTCTTTCATTTTTCGACCTTTGCACAGGATACACCAATATTGAAAGCCACCCTGTATCGGTGTGCGTTCAAAATCTATATACATGTGTCTCAGAATAGCAAGAAACCAAGATATAAGATACAAAAACAACTAACAGAGATCTACAATAGCTTTGGGCAAAGCCATGATAAAAGGAAAACCGAGATGTGATGTGAAGACGATGGAAAGTTGAGTTTAACTAAAAATGGACATAGAGAGTCATGAGTTTGTCAGCAAACTATACGAACAAACACGGAGACTTTGATCTCATAACGTACCAAGTGTTGTATTGCAAGGATGAGAAGGTTGATTCGCTATCGGAGAGATTAATAGGCAGATGATGGCTGAGCGACACCGTTCCGGTATCTTGCTGGGACTACAAAGCTGATATTCACCGCACAGCATAGCCGGACTGGGGATAACCGGGGGATGTCACGTCACAGCTGCCTGGGGTCCTGAGTGCGGAGCACCTTGCAGATGTCCGAGGTGTGCCTTGAGGACAACCTCAATTGGACTTCGGTAGGACTTCCATGTATGCTGAGGGCACATCGGAGTCCTGGCCTTGACATCCGCACAGCATCTGAAGGAACCGCCCTTGGATGTCGATGACGTGTCCTGACCCGGGGTGCTGACCCGATCATCCAATCTGGGACGGTCCGGACATCCTCCCGCACAAAACGTTCTTTGTGGTGTAATCCTCCATTCTTCCTCACTAACCGCTAATTACATTATTGAATATTATCAACAATTTATAACTCTTTAACTTAACTAACCATTTTTTATCCTCCCACCCACCCGAAAAATGACTATGTATAACAGGAAATTCTAGGAGGTAAGCAAAAGGCAAGATATTGGGAAACAGAAGATCAGGAGGATCTCTCCCGACCAAAGGAGAGTTCTCACCAACAAAGAGATCTCTCTGGTTAACACCTTTTGTGAACCTCCTCCACTACTAGGTCCCGCGGTATGGAGAGTTTGCGAAAGAACTATCCCTGCAAGCGGAGACCTAACTCACGCTATAAAAACTTTTCCTCACCTAGAAATAATGTAGGCAAGGGAAAAACAGTGTCCTTTATGAAATAAGATAGGATGTTATAAATTGTAATGGACCTAGTGAGATCAGATCATAATGTCATGGGGAACCGGATGTTGTTGATTGTCAGACTCAGAAGGACGCACAAAGTATGAAGGGAGGACACAATAATCGAATCACATAATTGCAAGTAACATAAAATGTTTACCTAACAACAACAGTAGCACGAGATGGAATAAAAGAATTGATTCTTCTTACAATACTAGATAATAACGAGGATGATATTCAAATAAAGTGATACATAATTTTTTTTAGAGTTTGATGATCAAATAGCGCATATTGAAGATATTTCATTTTCAAAATACAAGAGAAAGATCAATAACAACATGGAACTTGAGTAAGAAGACCACCATCGATAGGGATCACAGCTCCAGAAACATAAGTTTGGAATCCGCTCTGAACATTTGTAAGGATCAAAACAAAACATTTTAGACAAGGGATTTAAGAATTAAAGAGAAAGGAAGATGACTTACACATAAGCAGAGGATTAAAGTGCTGATATCTTTTTCGGCACCAGCTCGACCGGCTGGAACTCGTGAGATCATTTCTTTCATAGATGACATTGATTGTTGATCTTTTCCATGTTGATTCTTGTCTCCACCTGGGACTAAGAATCAGATACAGAAGAAGAAAAAAAGAATAAATTGAATTAAAAATGTATACATAATGAGATTAAACAAATCGACAGGAAACTTACAAATTCCAGGAGCAATGACATTACAACGAACATTAGTTCTAGCCAAAAGAGTTGATAAAGTCTTTGACATATGAATGATGGCAGCTTGAGAAGCAGGTTCGATAAGACCTTCGGAAAATTCACGAGAAAGACCAGCAACACCAGCAACATTGATGATTTGAGGATTATGAGACGAATTACCAAGTAAAGGTAATAAAGTAGCAATGACGAAATAAGTTCCAATCACGTTGGTACGTAAGACGTCTTCAGCTTCACGTTGTCCTTGTTGTAAGAGAGCTTGAGAGATGGATTGAAGACTATTGCCACCAGTTGGATGGATCGATTGTCCTTGCATTTTAACTGCATTGATCTAATTAAGATGTATAAAGAGCCAGTTAAAAGTCAGATCGGATTGATGGAAAGAAGAATACTAGAGAAATCAAAACTTGAGAACACGAACCAAGAGATCGATTGATTTTTCTCGTTTCTCAACTTCTTTCTTCATCTTCTCAACCCCATCTTTAGTACTTAAATCAGCCGGGATGGGAATGAGCTTAGCACCTTCAGAACATCTACCTTTATCCATAGATTCAAACTCTTTACAAACTCTTTGAAGACTTTCAACATGACGACCAACTAAATAAACACGAGCACCATTTGATACAAGAGCACGAGCAATCATAGAACCTAAACCTGAACTACCACCAGTGACTACTGCAACACGACCATCTAAATTGAATAGATTGGTACAATGAAGGTCTGGTTGGTTATCATGTTGATGACCATTGCCGGACATGGCGCGATGACCATTGCCAGTAGAATGACCATTGTTGTTTTGAGACATGTTTAATTTTTGATCTTAGAGAAAGAAAATGGAAAAGTTTGATAGAATTGGTTTGCTAGATAGAACTGTAGATTGGTGCGAAGATGGGATTTCCAAATGGTAGGAAAGAGTGTGACTTTATACCTTTGAGGAAATGACTCACGAATCCCATTCCACTGGGTGAACTTGAAGTCATGGTCAAATGTCTTGAATCCAATTACATAATCTTAATCCACATTCTTGAACGATTCACATGATCTTCTTTCGACTTGGCTCTTAGATGCTTTGGTCTTTGAGTTGGCTTACGAAAGTCATCAACACTTTCGAATCGAATCAATCTCTCTTTCTCTCTTAATCTATAGCTCAAGTCTTATGATGAATTCGACTTACACCCCAAACTTTCTGTCAGGGATCCTCTACATGAACTTCTTGATCGTTTTCTCTGATTTATGATTTGGAATTCAAAAGAAAGAAAGAGATGATCAGATGAACCGGCAACTTCGAGAACTTGATCTTGCGACAACTTGAGAACTCAATTCGGTTCGTTTAGAATTCAAAGACAAAGTCTCTTTTCAAATCAGTCCTTTTCTCTTACATCATCAAACTGTTCGGTTATGAGTTATCCGAATCCGATCTTTGATTTGATCAAATCATCATTGAGAATGAAAGTGAGAATCGAATGAGGATTTGAACTTTGACAATTCACTCAAGAATCTACTGATCAAAAACTTCAGTCTTGGCTAAAATAAGAAAACGTATATAGTTTGATCTATTCTCAACTTTATTCATGATCGATGATCTATTCGAAGTTGATGTGTGAAAACCTGGCAAGATGATACCCGAAAACCGGCTCTTCCAGACTCACTTGCTGCTTGGGTTAATTGAATGCTGTGAAGGTACCCTAACATGTTTCGCTCGTAGGTAAACTGGTGATACGCAATTCTTGGTTTTGATTCGTGAAAAACCTTGCAATTTCTCTTTTCTAATTAGAGAGTGAGATATGGTCAAGAGTGGTGGTTGATTTGAAATTAGATCACTTCTGATCATTGACCAAAGAAATTTCTAAACTGATAAGTCGTATCGATTTGGGGCCCGAGGTCTGATTCTTGCCATTTCGATCACAGCGCCGTTTCCAAGAACAACAAGAGCCTTGAAGAGAAGACCCCAAAATTATGGAAAAATCGATTTCGAATGCCTCAAATGAAAGTTAGAGGGAAATGGGTTCACAGAAATTCAAGCCATTTGAAGCTCAACCCTAGGATGGCAAGTTGAATGGATCAGCTCTCATCATAAACCCAAGTAGCGTACCAATAAATATACATATCATTCAAGGATTCTTATTGTACTGGTGAAAAAAAGTGGTCATATAAATCAAACTGAAGTTATCTTCTGGGTATTCAATACTTTTAGAAACAATGTGGAAAAGTCGTGTCATTCAGATATTCAAATCAGTGTATTTGTTCGAGGCTTTTGTCAGACAGAGCAATAAGCGTTGTAGACGGCTCACTCGTTTGAACTTTGAAGTCAAGCGTCCTGGTCCGCTCTATCTTCTGAAAATGGTATGAGCACGACATATTTTGAACTTTGGCAAAGGCGATTTGAGAAGGTCATGTCAAACAGGCTAGGAACCAGATCACTGAGCAGAATTTGCTGAAATGACTTGAATGTTGAGTTATGCAGTATGATGTTTGGCTCAATAGCCAACAATTACCCTGATAGGTGCTCAACCATCCTCAGTGTCAACAGGCAGTATAGCTTCTTGGTCAATACGAGAGGTTTGTCACTCTTCTTACGAACCATACAAATATGGTCAACAGGTCATAAATGAAGTCCTGCAATCGATACCAATATCTAATTTATCAAGATCACTATTGGAGCCAGGACTAAGAGAATGGATACCATATCATATTTGCACAAGTCAAAGCCGGCGATCAGGGCAGATGAAGTTCCCAAATCGGTCCATTGACACCATTTTCAAGAAAGGTTTCTTCCTAAGCTCATAAATATAGGAGATAGCCAGGAGTCGAAAGGCTTTTAAATCGGTAAGGCGAGTCCATTTCACCACTGTCAAAAGCAACACCGACTGATGCCCATACTGATCGGAGTACCTTTTTGAAAGCCAGGTAAGGTATTCGGCTCAAGGCGTCCTTGGAGATACGACGTGGTTGACAATGAATTGGACGATATCTATGGTTGGTCCTTCGGTTTTTTGACTGTTAAGATTTCAATGGGAGGACCACATCAGTAAAAAACATCCATCCCGTTATTGAGACCAGTGATATCACATCGCAAGAGGATCTGAAACTGACCTCCGTATTTAGACCGTGAGGTCCTTCTTCCTACTACACCTGCAAAGTCCAAAGCCCCACGAATGATCTTATACCTACGTGAGAATTGAATTAGGATCAAGACTTGAAGTTTTTATACCCAGGGCCCGAACATCTCCGTAGTATATTTATCGACTTACCTCAACCCAATCAAATCTTGCGTTCGTCCACCACGTACCAAAACGACTGAATGTTCTTGTAAATTGTGACCTTCTCCTTGAATATAAGCAGCAATAGTCTTGCCATTGGCTAATTTAACTTTAGCCACCTTTCTAACAGCCGAATTTGGTTTTCTAGGTTTCATTGTATAAATCTTAGAACAAACTCCTTTTCTTTGTGGACAACCTTCTAATGCAGGTGTTTTGACTTCTTTGATTGGTGATTTTCTACATCCTCTTATTGTTTGATTTATTGTTGATGAGTTTATTTGAGTGTTAGAAAATGATCGGAGTTGGTTGACTTGAGATTGGCATGATAGGATTCTAATCCATGTTGGTGTAGATGAGCCGATCAAAGAACGAGGTAGAATTTGTTCCAGAGAAGGTCGAAGAGAGAAAGACGAAGGAGTAAGTGAAACCAATCGTTTGAGCTGGTTTGCCATTGAGTTTTTGAGAGATCGTGAATGAGATAAGTTGTGAGATGAGTCCTTCTACTTTCAAGTTTCGATCCGGTTACAATACATAAATTGGTTCAGAGTTCAAACCTAACCGCGAAACAGTGTTTTGTAAACTACAGTTTATGCACCCGGCGCTTTCAAAATTATCCTCAGCGGACCACATTACAGTCAACTCCCTCTAAGTTGATATCCCTGTAAGTGCATAATTCTCCATGTGCATAGGATTTTTTGCCACCAAAAGGGGGTTTTCCAGCCAAAATGAGGTCTACATATAAGTGCATATTCCTTTAATTGCATGCAAAAACCACCCGCCAAACTGTATGTAATTAAAGGGAGTTGACTGTACAAAGCTCTTGTTTTTTCAAGTTTTATAAGACTGATGAATTTGAGTTTTTTGTTGTTGTAATTACATACCCGGTCTTTGGTTTTGTGCTTCTGGCTGTCACCCACCATAATGAAAAATTCTGACCAAAACATAGCTTCCTTGCATTCCTTGATGTTGAGGTTTCCTTCCAATCCTTGGGTACTAGTCACAAAGGTTATCATGACATACACACAAGTTGATATGTTGCAAGGCCCTTGGCCATTTTGTTCAAAGACAATCAAGACTTGAGTACTGATAAGTTGTTTTCAGTGTAGTAGTGTGCTATATTTCTTGGTTGTCCTTAGAGTAGCTTAGAACTCCCATTAACATTATTGCACATCAATCCCAATATGTTTGCTCAAATTATTGTCCCTTATATGTATCTGATTGTGTCTATGGAAAATGAATCTCTTTCCTTACATATTGGAAAGAGAGTAAGTGACCTTTCTTAGAATCACCATTTTGACCATCTTACTGGTATCACTCAACAAACATATTAGAAATTCCATTAGATCAATCATTAGAGCCTTTGAGCTTACCTATTGTTTTCTCACATCAAATTTTACCCCACAAACCTTTGCGTATAACTACAATAATTCTCTCACCACCTTCCACCAGTCTGAATTTTTTTCATTTTGATCATTTCTGCTTATTGGTTTGAGGTTTGCAAAGTCTGCATACCTGAGCTGTTGGAGAAGAGTGCTAATAACACACACTATATTTATAGGTACTAGAGTCTTCTAAGTCATTTACACATCTGTCTCAAGCACAACCAGCAGATATAAATATCTAAAAGATTAAAATTTGAGAATTCTTGGGTTTTGGCTCCAATCAAAGCTTCATTTAAGCAGCCAATCAAAGGAAATGCCAAGAGCCAAAATTTGGCTGAGGAGTAATAGTATCTCTTGATTGCCCTTTTCTATGAGGGGCATCCAAGCTCTACTTAATGTTCCTGTGGTGGGTGCGGAAAAGAAATCATCCCTTTTGGGCACCCAAAAAACTCAAAATATGGGGTGGGCGCACCCCAGAACCACACCTTAGAACCTGTTTCAAGCTTTTTCTTCCATTCTTGGAATTTATCCTGCTGTCCTTACACCCTGCAAACTCCAATCAGGCCAAAGGAAAAGACCAAGAATGTAAGTTGATACATTGAAGATGATGCGTCAGATTGAGATGGATTTTCAAGCCAAAAACCCAAGTGGCCTATCTACAGTCAAAATCCCAAAAGATTAAGCTCCAAAAACAAAAAACCAACAGATTTCAAATTCAAATTCCTTGAACAACTCCAAGAATCTCAAGAAAAAGTTTTTTATGATGATTCAGCAGAGCTCAACAATATTGCAGTCAAGGAACAAAGTTATATAAAATTGTGACTGACATTGCTTTGTCCAACAATTCCAATTCTGATAAAGTATTTACAGATATTGTGGTAGTGGATACTGTCAGATCAAAATCTCGAAAAGATTCTCTCCAAGGGTTGGAATCCAAGGATACCTCAGATGTTTCAATCCCAGGTAAATATGTTGGCAGTGCAAGAACAGAGTTAGACCAATTGATAGAATTACAGCAAATGTACAACACCCCTGAGATAAGAGAGGAAATATCCTCCTGGTACTTACAGAATTACAAACATAACCATGAGAGTGACTGGGCCAACACTTTTTTTTGAAATCAACATCACACACAACACCCTACGGGGTTGCTTTGGCGTAAAATACAAGTTAAAGACAATGTAGAATAAGACACTAATAATGTAACAATAAAGATACTAAAGGATATAATAGTATAAGTGACAAACCACTAAACATGTATAGATAAAAAAAATACAAATAAAAATAAAGAATAAAAATTCTTTGCTATCTGAACTTATAACCAAACAACTCATCACACAGGAGAGAAAAAACATAAGAAAACAACATAACTGCAAAAACATAAAAATAACAAGCCAGGTAAGTATAATATCATCTCGAAATAACTTCTACACCACCAGGATTTCTAACAGAACACAATAGGGTGGAGAGGGAGGGCTTCAGAAAAAAAAGGAACTAGAACTTTAAGATATCTTTTAGGAGATACTAGGTTGAGAATATTGGAGGAAAGTGAAATAGGTAAAAGGAAAAGATATGATGATGATTGGAGTGGTAAACAAGTGATGTCATTTCACCACCAATTTTTTTGATTCTAAATAAAAAACCAACCCGTCAATTACATCAGACTTTCCCGAAAACCTATTCATTCCCCAAATATTCCAATCAGTAAGTAACTAGTTACCTACAACTAGAAATATCCTCCTGGTACTTACGGAAGTACAAACATAACCATGAGTGTGACTGGGCTAAAACTTTTGTTTGAAATTAACATCATACACACAACACCCTCTCCGACCCGCCTGCAAAGAACATAGGCTTTAAGAGTGGTGAAGAGGGGAGGAGAAGTTAATTCAAAGCACAAAAATACCAGCACCAATAAGGTTGTTAGTTTGTGAGGTAATCCCAAATATGCAGCAAAGAATATATACTAGAAGGGTCCATCTTTGAATATAACAACCAATCTTCACACAGAATATATTTTTAAAAAAAAAAAAAACTAGAGAAAACTCACTGTTACTGAAAAATAACCAAAGCCCCTACATGACTTGATTTCCCAATAACATGATTTTTTTGGAAGTCTTAAAGCAGCATGGCCTCTTATATAAATACAGAAGGCTTCAGAAGACCAACAACCAATAATTTGAATGTATAGATGTAGCGCCACCAGACCTCAATGAATGCCCCAAAAAAGATTTGTCGAATATATCATAAAAGCACAAGCTACAGGACACCTTCAAAGCTGAGAAGTGAACAGACTACATGACCTACACCTGCCCAAGACATGCCCTGGATGAGGTCATCCTCTCAGGCACGGTTGGAGGAAAGACCTTCTACAACTTTCACAAAGTGATGTGAGGAATCGTATCTGTCTTCTGTTTCGTTGTCTCATCCTCCAATCTTGTCCTCACAGTTTTCTCCCTTGTTGGTGCTCTCTTTCTGTGGTAAGAACCTCTTGTGAACCCGCTAGATTTCATCTCCCACCCCCCCGGTGGTTGGAAGGGTTTCTTGCCCGTCTCTTGAGAGACTAGTTTGTGTAGAGCCTTGCAAGAAGGAAGCTCGTAGAAGCTTCCTCAGGCTCACGAACTCTAGGTTCCTCCCGTAGCACGTCTTCCTCTCCCTGGACTCCTTCTAGGGCAAGGTAGACAATTGCACCCTCATAAACCTAGAACCTCTGCTCAGGATAGTTAGATCCTGTGTAAGAAAAAACCATCCCTCCAAGCTTGGAGAGAAAAGCGCATGGATGATAGTCTCTTTTTGATCTCCTGTTTTTTTTTTAGTTGATAACAGTGAAACTTGGTCCAAGGACCTTTGATTTATTTACAATGATATTCTTGATGATCAGGAAACACTTGACAATCCGATAATTTACAAATAATCTTATGGAAGCCAATCACTCCATCTTTGGTATCCACACGTTTGATAAAGCTTGGGAATAGAGGTATCCCTTGATACATCACTCATAGTTCTTTTATTAAAGGTTTTTTGTGATGAGATAATAAAAAAATCTGTTTAGCATTTTTAATAATTTGATTTTTTTGAAAACTTGATGATATGTAATTTGATTGTAATGATATATATATAAGAACTTGAAGGTTTCAATTTTAAATCAAAATTCTTTTTTTGGACGGGGTTTTTGTTTGAGACATAGATCAGCTAAGATAAGCCCAGACTAAAGCCCCCTCAAAAGAGTGGAAACCAAAATTATGGCTTGGCAAGGCATCTATCACTGATCAGTATTCAATTTCAAGTGGTGGGTGTGGCACAAAAAATGTCCCTTTTAGGCACACACATAAAGTTGAAACATATGGTGGGTGCACCCCAGCACCAGCTTTTAGCTTTTTCCTCTGTGCTTGGACTTTATTGGTCTGTTCTTACACCCCAACACCTCCAATCATGCCAAAGGACAAGACCAAGACACCATCCGACTGGATTGTGAGGACCTCCACAAAAGACCTTGAATCCTACACAAATATGAGATATTATGTGAATAAGTCACAATATTCACCATTTTATTAGCAATAGATTGTGATGTAACCAAGAGAGATCAACCAAACCCAATCCATTCAGATTTTTTAAACCAATCTGAACCATTGTGATATTGACACAATAGGACAAGGTATTCAAACCAATTTAATCTACAGATCTCCATCCATCATTCAAGTTAAGATGACCAATATACTACACAAAGTTGATGATCTAGATTGTCCTAATAAATTGTTTAAGGAATACAGCATGGATAAATTTGGTTATGAATGGGGTTCAGAGTTCTTTTTCAGGTGATGCAAGGAGACATAAGGAAACATTAAGAGGATCATGATGAAGGAGTGGCTTTGATTTGAAGGGTGCCTGATGATGTACAAGAGCTTTGCAAACATATGCTCAGGAACATGTGGTGGGTGCTGACTGAATTCTATGCACACATCAATTTCAGGTCAGAAGAACTAGATTTACCTGATTTTTATTACTCGAAATTGGAGGCTTTGTGTGTCTGATTGGAGTTTTTGAGCAGGATGCAATCTTTGAAGATTTTGCTGGAGGAGCCTTTGAACTTTCTTCACAATTGAGTATCAATGGATCAACACAATTTAATTCATCAAAAACTCTGGTCAAGATTTTAGATGTAATAATATGAAACCATCAAGCAGTCAATTTGATGCCAATAACCATTCTCTTGAGAGACTTACTAGGGCAGTTCAAGAAGTGCTTTCACATCCATTGTTCTTTGAGTACTTGAGATTATAAGTATAATTATAAGTTTGCAAACCACCTCGAGAGGTGGTTCACAGTTTTGCAATCACTCAGTTAGCCTTACAGTTCTTATGACTGTGAGGTCCAAATGATGAAAAAAAGTTTACCTTGCATTTTTTGCTTTTTGTGGTGCAGCTGGATGTGAAAGTTTGTTCTCATCAGGTATGAATTAAGTTGCCAAAAACTACATAATAAAACACTGAAACAAGGCATTTAACTTCTCCAAGGCAAGTAAAAAAGGGCAGACAACCAAAAGAGAACTGTTGGGCGCTGAAAAAAAGAAACATGAGTGTTGGGAAACAGTGGCCCTGTTTTTTACAAGGCCCTGAAACTTGATTTTGGAGTGTTTGTGACTGTGTGATCAAAAGATTTCAGGAGCAAGCAACCCTGAAAAACCTGTTGTGACTCTGTGTCATGCTGCTTGCATTTCTTGACTTGAATCAACCTACAGTTAACACATACTGGAACTTGTTCATCTTTGTTACAACTCAAAGTAAGATTTTTTCCAAATTCTTAACTCATTCAAGTAGCACTTTAGATCAAATAAGTATGGATTGTGAATCAGAGGTGTTGTTCTTGGTGAAAATAGCATTTAATTGAAGCTCTCCATCCAGTCATATCTACTCCTATTATAAGTATAGCTATCTGTGCATGAAAACCAAGCACAAAAGTGTGGTGTGGTCCACATTAATTATTTTCGGATATGTGCCATGTGTCAACTCTTCCATCTTATCATGTAGTCATCAGTAAAAGCTTGATCAGTCCCTAACCTTGACTTTTTTTCAGTATGACAAGAGTTCAGATTGTGGTAGGCTTTATCTTTTTGCTGAAATCATGTTTTAAACACCAATGTTCTTTGGTCAGTCCAATATCCAAAATGTATCAACCGGTGTTACTCCTAGAGGTCTTGATATCATTCAGATTTTTCTGGTGGTACAATATATTGGCAAAAAACTAATTTAAGTTGATCAAAGATGTAGTTTTTTTGGAGGGTGGGGTGGGGTTTTTGTGATAGATGGTGTAGAGGATTTAGGGTTTTTTCTTTGAGAAGGGATGTGGGTTGTATTGGATCAGTTCTTTTATTTTTTAATTTTTAATGTATAGGTGGTTTGGAAAGATAGAGTTGAGGAAATCAGATTCATTGGTTATAGGTACAACTCTTTTTATATGTTGGACATTGAGAAAAGAAAATGAAGAAGTTCAAAGTTCAGTTGTTAATGGGATCTAAACACAGCCAAGAGTGGATGTTTTGGGGGGTTTTAGTGGTACATTACCTTTGAAGTTGAATCTTCTTCAAGGTTATGGGTATATAGTCCGTGTTCATGAAACTTGATTTGGTGATCGAATTGACGGTTTTGAAGGTTGCGACACCGTAACGCAACATATCGGTCCATATGCAAGGCATCGAACCCCATCGTGATTTGGGTGCACAACTTTGCAAAATCAGTTGGCGATCATGGATGGCGAGTCCTAGAGGATGTAAATATCATGTAAGGGATCATTGAACACGAGAAAGGCAAAACAAGTCATGGATCTGATTTCTTGGAATCAAGTACGAAGACTATGTAAAGGCTCTAGGCTAGGTCACACTTTATCACCTTACAAGACAGGTCCCTCTCACTTTCTCTCAATCCTTCTTCAGGCTCAGTTATATGAATGATGTCAAATTGCTTCATTACGATCCAAAAGAAAATTACAAATCAGAAAGAAACCGAATAGAGAAAAACACAAACGAGGAAAATAAGGAAAAATAAGACAAATCAGGCCAGATACATAGTAGGAAATTATATGAAGCATTTTGTATTTTAAACTTTTCAAAAAAGATTTCTATTAGGTACATACTCAATTCTTCTGTTGAGTCATCAACAGAAAGAATTTTCAAAATCGAAATCAAGATTTAAAATAGATTTTTCGAGATTCAAACTAGTAAGATCGGTTGTAAAATCATCATTTTCTTCTAAACAAGATTTCACAATCTCAAAACTGATATCTGAATGATAGAAAGAGTTTTGATGATTGTTATTAATTAAACTGAACGGATCTTTGAGTTCTTCTACAGGTGTTGGTAGAGAATGAGTATTCTGAGCGCTCGAATAAGATGAATGGATATTCGAAGAGGGTGTAGATGGGAGAGAATAAGTCTCATCAATTGTAAAAGACTCTAAACGTCTTTCTTGAGAGAAAGGAAGAGTGATGGTGAAAGATTCATCGGCTTCTTGTCGATCTTCATCTGTCATCAAATTATCCAAGATTTCAGACCAATGAAGTTGTCCTTCAGTATCTTTGAGATTCTTTGAGCTAGATTTTGAAGGTTTCGAATTCGAAGAAGTTGTCGTGTTGAAAGATGAAGAGGATGAGGTAGTAGCCAGTGTACTAGAAGTAGAAGATTTCAAAGTCTCTAAAATTTGATGTTCGAGAACCAACTCGTTGAAGATATCAAAGTTGGAAGATTCTACTAAAGTAAGAGGCATGAACTCTATTGATGCCATTTTATCAGTTTCTTGCCGTAACTCTTCCTCCGCTTCCTCCCAATCAGAAGCGGTCATTAAATTGTCTAAGATTTCAGTCCAGTGGAGTGTTGGGTTCGGTTTCCTTGAAATCAATGACCGAGGGGTGAAAACTGGTGAGTTATGAGTGATTGAGGCAAGTTCGGAAGTCGAAATTGAAGGGGTCGAGATTGTAGATACTTGATGTTCAGCAAGTAACTCATTGTAGATAAAAAAAAATTCAGATTCGTCTTCAGTGAGCGGGATGAAAGAAAGGGTTTGATCAAATAAAGTTGTATTAATTAATGGTTTGATTTCTTTCTTTAGCTCTTCTTCTGCTTCTTCCCAATCAGACGCCGTCATTAGATCATCTAAGATCTCAGTCCAATGAAGTGTTGGTTTTGATTTCTTTGAGACTGGTTCAGGAGTGGCAAAAAGTTGTGATTTTGAATGTGATCTTTTTGTTCCTTGGGATGAGTTTGGAACGAGTGAGGGAGACTTGGAGGTAGGAAGTGTAGGGGCTGAGGTTGTTGAAACACTGTGTTCGGCGAGTAACTCATTGAAAATGTGAAAGTTTTCAGATTGCTCCTCAGTGAGCGGGATGAAAGAAGTTGTTCGGTTGAGTGAAGTCGAAGTAGGATCAACTTTGGTGACAAAAGCCAAATCCGAAGTGCAATCTTCATCCGAGATCAAGATTTTTGCAAGTCTTTGTCGACGAACAGGACGCTTTCTTTGGGAAGGTAGCGCAACACAAGGGGAAGATTTGATTGACTTTTCTTCTGAGACTTCAGACTATTAAATACCAAAAATGTCAGCAAGAAAGCAACAAGTGGAAAACCACGAAATATGAAAGTCGACAAACCTGATGGGTTGAAGTCGAATTCCATGCGATCAGTTTTGGACTTTTACAAAGACTGATGAGGAGCAATTCATAGGCATTCTGTTATGAGAAACAATGAAGAAAATTAGCTGACTGGTCATTGATCAGATGAAGAAGCAAAAGAAAAGCTTACCTGCTGTGAATTGTCCGATGATGCACATGCGACTGTGGCGTTGTGAAGTGCTACAGCTCTCTTCATGACAAACCAAGGATCAAGTCCAAATCGTGCAGGCAAGTTAAGGCCGAGCAAAAGGTAAGACATGTTGATTATAGGAAGGTGAGTAATTATGAGATGGATTGAAGAGATTGAAGGATGAAGATCGAGAAAGATCAAGATTTCTGAGATTGGATTGGATGGTAGAAGATAGAGTGATGTGATGATGCAGTTGTGGAAGGTTTAAAAAGATTCAGATGATGGGGATGCAAAGTGCGGAGTGAGAAGTGGTTGGGAAATGTTATCAAAAGATGTGAATGATAGAGGATGAGGAGAAGGAGAACTCGGAGAGAACGACAGATATTTATACCTGTCTTCTGCTTGAGATTGTGTCCCGGTCTGCTGAAAGAATGCCTCAAGGCACAGAAGCAAGCACGTTCCTGATGGAAGTGCCGTTGTCGGCACGGGACTTTGTCCATGTTTGCCGCGGCCGAGCAATTTTGGTGATCTCTTCAATCACAAAATATCATCACGAACTGAAAAAGTTCGCAATTCGACTGAAATCACTTGAATCTGAAATCATCCAAGCAATCACATCAACAGTGTTTCACAAAAGATCACGTATCACACTGATCAAGTGAGCCTTGGATTTCTTTCACATCCACCAGTGCACTTGAGTCACTGATGAAAATTTCCATCTTGACCGGAAATAACGTCCACAATTTCGGCTCGTGACTTTTACGCGTCTCCAGCAACAAGTTGACCTTCAAATCATCACAGATTGATATCGAATGCAACCGTTATTCGAGTCAAAATCACCACGTACATGATGTTCCTGTACCAAACCCCCGATTCGTTCGTGTGGCTGGTGCTGACAAATTAGACAAAGCACAGGCTGACGAGCGCTTCAAGCTTTCAATTGCTTCGGCCCGCGTGAAGGAGTGCATGATGACTCTGAGCGAAAGTCCCTGATGGGAGTTTTGCTGAGCTTTGTCTTCGGCGTTGTCACGGGACTCTGTCATATCTTGCCACGGCCGAACCATTTTGGTAGTCTTTGCAAACACAAACTTTTATCACAAACTGAAAAAGCTCAGCAGGTGATTGAAATCACTCGAATCTGAAATCATCAAGCCGATCACACATTAGCAGGGAACAGATCACATATTGCACTGACCAAGTACCATTAGAATATCTTTCATGTCCAATGGTGCACTTGAGTCGCTGATGCCAATTTGCATCTTGACCAGAAATATCCATTCTACAAATCTCGTTAGATGTGAGATTTTTTCTAGTTTATATACCTCACGTGATATTCTCCTTCCTAGGCCTATGTATTCGTAGGCTGAGGGAGGAGATGTTTGGGGGAGCCCGGTCCCGGGTGCGCGCTCTGTTTCATCACGGTTAAACCTTACCGGACGACTGAGCGGGCCCCGTTTGTGGCTCGCCAATTTATGCGGGCGTGGCAATTAGAGTTTGGTGGCTCAGGCAATCAACACCCCATACAGTGAGGCTCGCGTCAAGTCTCAACTCGTTGAGCGTCCCGTCAAACTCTATGCGAGTCTGACTTGTTTGTGCTCATTTTTGGAGGGTTAGCTCTGTATTTCACTTTATTGGTTCAAAACTTTGGGTGTACACCATTTTAACTCTCTGGAATTAATACGGGATTCTGTATATCTCGGCTGTACTCTTATCTGTTCCTCCGGTCGATGAGCCATAGGAAATCTTTTGTATCTTCCTTTTCTTTTTCCCCAAAGCTTTTAAGGTAGACATCCACTGCTTTTGATTTCCACCTACCAACTTCCATGATTTTCTCTTTTTCCCATCCTAGGTTGAACCTCAGAGATGCTCCACCCACTCGGAAAGAGTGACCCGACCACTCTCCCGTTTGTACGCTGTGTTTACCCCACACGTTTTCCATCATTTTGGTGAACTTCATTCTCGATATCGTCTGCCGTTCGCCTTCTACGTTGTATGAGAAAAGCAGGGCTTTCCCATCGTTTTCCTTGTGTTCTTTGTTCACCCATCTCCTCAGTGCCCCCACTGGGTCCAGTACCGAGTTCTGTTAAGTCATTCTTTTCTCCGACTTCCAGTTAGCATGGGTCCTACAATCGTTTCACAATTTGTTCTTTTGCGTACCTTATGAATTGTGGTTTGCCTGGCTTCGCTGTCTTGGCCTTCCATACCCTTAGGATAGCGATGCCGCCCTTTTTCGTCTCTTTGAAGGACAGGTCTTCTAGTCTGATAGCGCCTTCTAGAGTCGTTTCTCTTACCAGCTCGCCGAGTCGTGCCATTCCCCAAAAGGCGCAGAGGGCTATCGTTATCGCGAGGTCGTGTGCCTTAGATTTGTTATTCAGCTCCGCTATCATTTCGAATAATTTCTGGACTCGAATCGGCTTCTTCTCTTTTTGTTCTCTCTTCTCTCCCAACAGCTTTCTTTTTTCCTCGCTTCTTGCTGTCGACTTCAGTAGCCAATCTACTGTTTGTTTATCCAGCTCCAGTTGTTTCAAATGTTTTGCTACTTGCCATGCTTTCAAACCCGCCAGATACTTCTCCACCGTTTTCGCCTTGATCTCCCTATTCGGGCATGACAACTTCTCTACTTCAGACGGTCCTGCCCAAACCACTAATCCGTACACATCCTTTCCCTCTATTGGTTCTTCCGCGTTGAATACCTGTCCTGTGCTTTCTACATAGGCTTTGAATTTTTGTACTGCACTTCCATAGCTTTTCATTGTGTTGTCTGTCCACGCGCCTTTCACCAGGTGCTCCGACACCGGCTTTCTCCAACTCTCTTCACCTTCGCCGTCTTCATTCCTTGTAACTCTTTCAAAGGTTGCGCGTCCTTTTCTCGTAGGCTTCTTCTGATTCGTACTCGACATATTTTGTAAGATGGGTCGGGATTTCCGGTTTTTTGTGGTGTTTCTGTTTCTTTGTTCCTCTGTCACCTCTTGACAGGACGTCAGCGTTGTTGTCACCCGTCCTTACGTATCTTTCTTCTATTTCACAATCAAGGTAAGCTAATTCTTTTTGAATTAATTTCCATTCGTCGTTCACTGATCAATCTCTAGACTTCTGATTACGTATAGCCGCTTCGGTCCCGGTGTTGTCCGTTAGGACCAAAAACCTTCTCCCCCTTGTTTCAATTGTGTTTTGTATCATTTTGAGGCCCATTCTTACGGCGACAGTCTCTAGCCACGCTATTCCGCGTTTCACACCCCTCTCATCCACTTTGTTCCAACTGTCTTTGAGTTTCAGCTGTGTCCACCGCTTTCCCACGATCACCCCTATCCCAAAGCTCGTGGATGCATCACCAATCCACCCGATGTTTTCGACTCCTTTCTTGGGGAGCAATCTGTGGTTCTTGAAGTTTGTTAGTACTTCCTCCCACTCTTGTAAGTCTTATCTAACATGGTTTGGTATTCCCCGTATGGCTAACTCGTTTTTCCATCCTGCTAGCATTCCGTAGAGTCCTATGTTGTAGCATTTCATTTGCGGGAGCATGTAGGTTACATGGTCTAGTCTACCGGTCAGCTTCTGTATTGCCTTGTGAGTATGTGGGCCTTCGTTTGCTATCGCCTCTCTGATCTGCTCAAGTCTCTCTTGTCTTTTCCGCTCCGGTAGACGAAGTGACTTGTCTCAACCGTTCCAGATGAAACCAATGTACTTCTGCTTGGTTTGGAATTTGGAATACTTCCCCTCGTTGGTTTTCACTCCCAACACTGCGCTTGCGTCTACCACTTCTTTCATCAATGTTGGGTCAATTTCACCTGCCCTCCTGATGAACAAATTGTCATCGACCCACCTAAACACCTCTACAAAATTAAATTTCTTCTTCATAATAGCCCTCCACGCGTCTGCTGGGCCCCCAAAACTTCCGCACCCTGCCACGCCGCCAAATGACACCCTCGTGTCCAGGATGAAACGACCCTCTGACGTTTTCAGCATTAAGTATCACCACTGGTTGGGGCTGGTTGGAATTTTCCGGTAGGCTTTTTCCCAGTCAAAAATCCCCAGCTCTAGTACCCCGTTTTCCTTGCTAAAGAAAGCCGTGACGGTCCTAAAATTGTCCCAACTGGTTTTGAAATCTTCCTTGTTGACGTACGAGTTTACTGACAATATTCCTCTTACGTGCTTCGGGTGGGACAGGTCATTTATTACTCGTGTAGATCCGTTGTTGTTTGTCACCATACCCATTGGGCTGGTTTGGAAGAAACCTAGGGCCGACAGCACTTCATCCTCCGTGAAAGGGCCTTGCATCCTGCCAGACTTCAACTCTTTTGATATTTTCTCTCTTATCTTGTCTTTCTCCTTAGCGTGTGTTGCGTGATTATCTGGAGCGTAGAATTTCTTGTCCCCAACTGTATGTTGAGGGATTCCTTGCGTGAAGCCGTATCTGAAGCCTTGTAGTACATAGCCGTGCTTCTCCATCAAGTTTAGTGCTTTCAGCGTTTTTTCCCATGCCTCCAGGTCCATCTCGCACTCGACCTTCTTTGGCCACACTCTGTTCATGTGGTATCCTCCCTCCGGGAGTGTCGCCGCTAGCTTTGGGATTGGACCCCTGTATTTGTTTACCAGGCTTGCTTGTAGGTGATTTGGGACTTGGTTCAGGACGGGGTGGGCAGACTTCACGTCTAGATTTTGTTTCACCTCAACGTTGCCCTTCCCTTCTGGAGGGTTAGCTCTTGGGCTCTTCACGAACAGGGCTTGTCTCACTATTTTCTCAGGGTCGTCTGCGGTCACGGGTCTATTGGCAGAAAAGGGTGTTCGTGGTGAAAATTTTGGATTCATTACTTCACACAGCAAGAACATGGAAACTGGCAACAATTCACTCCTCGACTAAAGCTAGGTCTGCTTGGAGACTTACTGTTTCTCTGCTTCTGCTGGGGTGCCTGCGTTACCGCTCCCAGAGCTGACGTTTCCCCCTCCCCTTCCCTTGAGGTAACTCTTCCCTTTTCCAGCTCCCTCTGTTCCGAACACTTGGTTTGCGTCTATCTTTTGGTTCGAGTTCCAGGATCCGTTTGCTCTTTTGATGGCACTGTAATTCTCTACAAAATTTCTGCCTTGATAACCTACGCTTTCCAGTTTACCCCAGCTCCTGTTCGGCGCCGTTTGCGCGTTGCTTGCGTATTGGCTGGTTTGGGGGGGGAAGGAACTTCCTGTGGGCAAAACCGTCTTTTCAGCTCGTTGGTCTTTCTGCCTGATGTCAACATGCTTACTTTGGTTTGATCCGCTACCGTTTTTGAACGCAAAACTCCTTTTTGCCACCAATTTCGTTAGCCCGGTTGTAGGGTCGATCTGCTCTTTCCTGCCACCGGCTACGTAGGGGTTCTCAGCATATTTCCTTTCACCGTTTTTATTGGCTTCTTCCTTCGCTTCTCTCAAGATATCTTCGTGAAAATGGCTGGCGTCTATCATGACCCGTTTACTGTTTTTCTTCTTCACGACCATCACTACGAGGCGCACTTTCATGCAGTACCTTAAGGCCACCATCCAGCACTTGGTTGATCTTCTTATTCTCCCTACGTTTTCTTTGTGGCGCATGAACATCTTGGCGGCTGTTGGTCTGTTATACTCTGTCTCTAGGTACTTGATGAACAAATCTATCGTGTCTGTCCACGCGCCATACGTCATCAGAAGCTCTTCCGGTGGTGTCAAACCTGAATACGTGGCCGTTGAATTGTCTTCTTGCAGTTCCTTCAAGGATTTTGTTTTCTTTTTTCCGACTTGGCGGTGATTCTGTTCTCAAAGTAAGGTGTTAACGGTAACAAAATGGTTCCTTCAATAGGCTTGCCTATCATGTAGGTGATCCCTTCTTCCGTTTCTGTTTGTTGGAGTCACTTGGTCAGCTGTGGTTGTCTGCTTGCTGACTTTCCAACCACTCTACAGGTTGGTTTATGCTCACCATCATCCCCTTCTTCGTTGTTGGGTTCTTCGTCTGTCTGAAGGTCTTTGGGCTCTGCAGGTTTTTTTCGCTTTGGCTGCTGGTTTTTTAGAGTCCATAGGCGTCTTCTTTGTGACCAAGGTATGTTCCTCCTCGCTCTCGCTCTCGCCGCCTGGTACCAGGGACTCTGTGCGTGGGCGTTGGCTTACGCGTTGTGTATTTGGTGGATCCGCTGGAGATCTAGCACGTTTGTTGCCGGCAACGTTTCTGACGTTGTCTGTTACGTTGTCTCGGTCTTGTTGCGTAGGATGCTCGCCTCCGTACACTGCATTAAATGCTCTGAGCATCTCGTCTGCTCGATCTGAGTCACCCCAGTAGTATTTGTGTTTGGTTCTTTCCATCCACTTCGCCTTCCGGCTTTCGTGGTCTAGGTTTTCTGTCAGAACGAGAAAAGAAACACCAGTTGTCTTTAGTTTTGCGGACTTTAGCATATTGCCCTTGGTCTCTTTCTATTCAGGTGATTCTTTTGGATATATTTTGCCTCGGTGTGCATTTCCACTTGGGTTCTTTTTTGGTCACGGTATAGCCTGTGCCGAGCCTCAGTATTTTGTGACTGGAGCACTGGTTCCTTTTCTTAAGCAAGTTGCTTTGGCTTTCCCTGCGGATATTCCCGCGTCCTCTTCATTTTGGGCTAATACATTTGTTTCTCCCCTTGGTATGACAGGATTGAAAAGTAGAAACGGTGTTTGTTGGATAAAGAGAAATGAAAGATTTTATGGGTGGCGGGTTGTTGATTTTTGGCGAATCCTAGTGGGTCGTCTTTTGGATTTCTCTTGACTTGCTTCCTCTAAAAAATTTGAATGCTTACCGTTTTCTTGAGTCTCGTTCTCTGGTTCGTTGAGTACTTGTCCTTCCTCTTTTTTGCTTGTACTCGCTACTGGTTCCTCGCTTGCTTGCTGTTTCTGATTCTCAACCGTCTCGGGTTCCTCTTCTTGTTGTCCTGAATTTGTCTCTTGGGTTTGTTGTTGTTCCTTGCTTGTTCCTGCTTCTCCTGCCTTGGACTGGCTTCTAGTTTCTATATTTGCAGTATCATGTCCCTTCTGGCCTTTCCTGGTGATTCGTATCTTTGTACCCGCTGCTGTAATTTTCTTTTTTGCTGCCTCTATTTCTTTGTTGAAAGATGACATGACTGTGCAAGATAGTTCCTGAGTGTCGTATGAGTTTACAAAAAAGAAGTTTATAGGGGAACGGGGTATAGAAACTATGAATGTCTTGATGTTATTCGCAAGCTTTTGAGCAGAGGTGTGAAGGTTGTGTACAGCAAATTTTTTTTTCCCTAGATTTGGAATCTTGGAAGGTGCGAGCTGTACTCTCGTACAGGCTGTACAGTTTACTCACTACCTCAGATCTTTGCTCATGGAACTTTCCCCTTAAGTCGTGCCTTGGTTAAGACCAGCAATGATTTTCAGGCAATTTTTACCGCCTCCAATAGTGTGAACACCATTCACACTACACCATTAGATTCATCCTCAACAAACTATTGTAGATCTGTATTCACATGGGACCCTTTTTCTCTTCCCCCAAGAATCCAGAGCAGCAGCTTTTTCAAGTCAACTGCCATGATTGATAACTACATTCAGCATCAGTGTCTTATAGCCAATAACATGTCATGCCTTTTCTGATTGTTGGTGAGGCAATCTCACAGTATGCCAAGTGAGACATCATGTTACGTACATACACAGTTGGCTGTTATTACAACATACATTCATAAATATTTCAGTGTGGCGCCCGCTGCTCAATCTGGCTAGTCATTTTGTAAAATAAATGTAATCTTTCTCACCTTGGAAAAATGCATTATATTTGCAGTGTGACAAGTTGAGAGGTCTGGTCAGATTGTTTTTGCTGCAGTAGCTAACAAAAAATGTAGATTATTTATCACCACAGACAAGAAAGAAGCAAAATAGCTTATAGGTTGGAAGCTGTGGTTTAAGGTGGACTCATAACTGAAATACCATTCATACTCATTGATGACTTGGGAAGGGAAGTGTTGCAATTGTCACATCACTACCACTTGGGTGGTGATGCTTGAATGGACAGGACATGGGGTGGTGATATCCAACATACAGGCAAGTGTGAAATGTGATGCACAGAACTATTCCATGGCAACTGTCAAACACTGACAATGGGATTTGACTGTACATATATTATTTCACAAGTGATGAACATCAATGCTGACTGTATTGCCACAGATATTGTCATGGGTTTAATTCCTGTGGTCTGAGCTACATACTATTCATATTGCCTCAGCCTTCCTCAGTAAGATACCCTAAAAGACACCTTGATCTTGACTGCAGGTCTTTGATTGTATCACCTCCTAAGGATCTGTCAGCCTTTAACCATGTCCTGGCTATCTCACCAATGTAAAATCCAATAGAACTTCATGAATACAGAATACAAAGGAGCTCACTACTTGTAGTCCAGAAAAAATAACTGAAGGCCAGTTTCAAAATTGGCACCAGGCTGCAGCCCATTTTGCCAACAGCGGGCTGGGCTGACTTGCACAGCACTGTTGCTATGTTGAGTACATCTGTCAAATACTCTGTTTGTTTTTGATGGATGTTTTTCCAAACAAAAAACACATGTGATCCTTTTTTTTCACTTATACTGACTATTTTCCAACACTTCAACTTACATAATCAATCACATTGTTTTGTTGAGATTTCTTGTGATTGATGGCCTCCTTATCAATTGTCATTGTGATATTTCAAGTGCAAAACTATAGTATAATGAATTTCAAGAGGGTGAATCAAAGAAAACAAAGATGAATGATCTGATGGCGAGCAGTGCCATACCAAAATGAGTGTGAAGATATCAAAAAGTCAAGAAATCCATAGAACGAGAAGTGTAAGCAAATAAAAGAAATGAACAAATGAGCATCAAGAACTAACCAAGAGAAAAATTGATTAAATACTAACCAAACAAGTGTAAATCAAGAATTGAAGAGAAAAATGGGGCTATGGCCCGAAAAATGTTTGACTGCTTTGGTTAAGCCAAAAAAGCGGGCTTTGGGTGTGTTTTTCCGGACTATAAATGGTGAGCTCCAAAAGAAAAAGGATGTATATGAAATTCTATTTTGAATATGATTTTTAATCTACTGTTCGAAAATAAAATACTACAACTTTGAAGACCTTCAAGCTTGTATGTCCATAACTCATAATGAACCTAAATTGACCGCATGTAAGTTTTTTCACACATCTTCAACGCTTTTGTAAACTTCCCAGTAAGACAGTTGCAACATTCCATTCGTCCAAAGGTTTGTACCCATCGTCAACCAGCCTGAAGTTGTAGGCATATTGTTTCGAAAAAGGTGTGGCAGTCAAAAGAGTGAATATCAGAACCCAAAGCCATCCTCCTCCGAGTTTGCGAGGTATGTGGGGGATTATGTATGGTTCCAAGACAATCCCTATTGGTTGCACAAGGAAATATACAAATGCAGCCGGGAACTCCTTAAAGTAGACGTGAGGGAAAGGATGTGCCTTGCGTGCAATGGCATGTGCAACTGATAAAAATCATTTCAAAGATGAAATGGGTAGAGTCAGTATATCATCGGAGTGGATTCTGAGATAATCAATTCTCCTTACCAAATTCATGCATTACACCGCTAATAAAGAAGCTGCCAAAAAGTCCGCAGATCCTTTGAACCTTCAATCCACCACCAAGCTTTTTGGCTAAAGCGCTTGCAGGGAAACCACCGCACATCAAGAAGTCTCTTCTAAAGAATTGATGCCATGCCTTTCCCCAGAACCAGCTCAGGGAAGTGGACGTGTGAGGAGAGTTGAAGGCGTGTTGAAAACGGTTCGGATCGCACAAGGCCAAGATCAATTTAGGTATTTGCACAAAGCCTCCAATCCAATGAACTAGGTGGCAGATCAAGCCGTACCGGCATGATAGGGCATCTACACCGCATATCAAGAGAAATCCAAAAGACAGTGTTGATAAACCTTCAGCCAGTAATGATCGCAAAGGAAAATCTGGTAAGCCAATAGTAGCCAATACTTGATTGGGAGAGCCTTTATCTCGTGCCGTCATTATAAATGCGATTGAAATGGCTCGCACGCAGTTGTCAACAATCAACCTTTGAATCAAGTCAAGCACGGTTGGAACCTTGTGCTGAGGTTTTATTCCCCAACCATACTGGTAACCTCGGTAGCTTTGGATTTAGGAAATGACCGTGACGAAAAAGTTAACAAATATGCAATATAGCAAGAAGTAAAGCCAACGATTTCGAAAAACTCACGAAACAAATTGTCGTGTGGTCCATGAAGCGATTTCAACCCAACCGTTCGCTTCCGTAGACGCGCCTGGTGCTGATGGTGTAGGCATTGGTGAGGAGTCTGAAGTAGGTTTATTCCAATATTTTCCAGCCCAGTATCCGTTGGTGATACCCCACTCGGAAGATTTCGTAGCAAGATGGAAGCCCCAAACAGCCAATAGTAAATTCAACATTCCGCTCTTCGTCCAAGGTAAAAAACAGTAATCGATAGGTATTGTGATCAAGATGCACACGCTCAAGGGAGTGAGTAATAACCTGATCCAGCGTAATATTGAAGATTTACAAAAATGCGGGTGTAACAGAGAACATTGGATCCATAGTGGGATTAATCGAACTACGATGCCATATAAAGAGGGTGGTCGACATGATATCACTTCTTCTGGCTGCCAGAATGTCTTCAGCAACGAGTCAAGTAACATTCTTTGAAGTATAAGCAAAGAAGTTCGAATGTACGATGTGGACAGATGCGGAAGCGTTACTCGGAGTTTTTAAGCTTGCGTTGAAAGTGCCAGGGCAAATCAGACTTGAGGGACGTTCGAAAATAGGTGAAAGTTTGTAAAGCTCGTGAGGGAAAAGAACGGCCAGAGGTGCGACGCTCGAACGGATAACGGTAGTCGTTGCAATCCCTCGTAAAGAACACCTTTTGAATATGTGATCTCTTTCGGTGTCTCTTTCTCACATCGTTCATGAATCTGTCAAAGTCCGCCTTCCGCCGAGTCCCGGTGTTGCTTCCGCTGTGTTGAGGCTGTGTTTACACACATGATCATTGATCACATCCCCGCAATCAACCATTCTAGCAAGTTTTGATGAATGGAGCTGTGTGCCCTTTATTATCATGCGAGGTGTTAGAAATATGTATCACATCGCCCAATGCGCCTCAAGATTGGTAAAGCGTAAATTTTGAAGAAATGTGTGACAAACACCTTGATATTGAATCAATGGGATGTGTTTTGCTCCGCCTGAAGCAGATCAAATCAGTTTAATGAGTTACTTGCATATATCTGACTTTGGGTACAAGATAAATACTAGCTATGAATTGCTATGCTATTATGTAGTATTCAAAACATCAAACAAATCTAACATATATACCGCAAGACAACCTTCTTTACCCAGATTTACCAACCAAGGCTCGGTCAAATCTACGGGGAATTTGTTCCAACAATCACGAAATACTTTTTGGAGAGTGTATCGCTCAATCAATCATTTCATTCATATTAATGGCTAACAAGCAATTCAAAACACTTTCCATTCTCATATTATGTAAATAAAACAATGGAAAATACATAACATTTAGAAAGGGGAGCACACCAAGATGTTTGTATGTGTTTCAAATCCCTTGGCCATTGGTCTCAAGATGATGAAATAGAAAGCAATACTCATCTCAAGATGTAGAGCAGGTATGATCAGAAAATGTGGATCAGTGATAATAATGATTTTATTTTGGGACCGGCCATCCGGATAGTGGGCAGGCTCAGGTACTTGACTGTTTGTACCTCTGTTGTTATGATTGCTCGTACTGCATTGTGGACTAAGAATCCTACAAGCAATCCGCGAGGGAAAACATTTGAGCAGTAGTGATTTTCACAGTGTGCACTTCAAGATAGTATTTATCTAAGAACCCTTCATGTGATACCACACAGAGCCCATTCAATCACCTTTCTAAGCTTCTGGCCTGCAATACCCCATTTCCTACAAGAGGCGTATGAATTCGATCATAAGTTCACCTCCACCTCTACTGCCTTGATTCAAAACCTCAAACTGTTTACATTATTCAGTCGAGTCAGTACTTTTCCCAATAATCACTACACCTTTTGAAATGCGTCACTTTCACAATATGCTTTGCTGTTTTGTTTATGTTTTATTTATTTCAATCAACAATTTACATGTAAAATATCCCCGTCATATCAGTCGCCTTCGTCAGGTTGGAAACTAAGGATAGAACAAAAGAGTAATGAACTTGACTCTATGCGGCCGGCTTGACCATCAACTCGTCTTTGCCGGCCCTATATGAAATAATGAATTTGAAGTGATTTGATTAGCAAGGATCAGATTTGAATCAATGACTAAATCGACTGACAAGAATTTCTCCAAAAACGTATTGGGTAATGGAGGTGACTATTTTTCGAATCAAAAAGAAAATATCAATAATCATGAAGTTTAAATTTCAAAAGATTGACAAAAAAAAAAGGAAAAGCGCACTTGTTCTGATTCAAAATATCTCATCACTTGACTTGGCATTTTCCAAACATTTACAAATTCTTGATATTCCATATGAGATTTTGATACTAAAACATCAATCGTTTGTACATCTCGAACATGTGAATGTTTATTAAAAATTTGTCGAATCTTGGCTCTCAAGGCTGGATAAGGTACATCAAGTGCATAAAGCTAATAAATTGAAATGTTTGATGAGTTGATCCATCCAATCGAATTAGGAAGGTGATCGTACGAATCAAACTAATACTGCCATGAAGGCTCACCTGACAGATTTCTGGAGCAGCTCGATACCAATCACGGTAGAGACTCCTGGACCGAGCTTGAGCAACAGCCAAGTTAGGTGAGCTAAAGTGTTGCCAGAAAAAGAGGTAGTGAGCAAATTGGATAAATGGTACACGAAATCGAAATGACTTACGATAGTGTGCGACGTGCCAGTCGAGAAGGGATGGTGGGACTGATATGTAGTGGCATGTCGTTGGTTTAAGATGTGTCGTGGTTCTTCTTGTACGGCTTTATCGATCAAATTAGGGAAGTCACCGGAATCCAAATGACAGAGGGAGTACTGTAAGGCTTTGGTCCGGCCCCGCACCGATGGCCCTGACACCGGTCTAAGACGACCCAGATTCAATTTCTCCCTGAATCATCTCATCACCACCACATCCAAGTTGGTGTTTTACTGAGACCAAATGAATGGCCAAAGTCTTTGAAAAAAATAACTTTGACAGGTGGACATATCCTTCAATGATTTTATGATAAACTTGGGAAATATGAAAAAGAACAGTGATTAAATGTTATTTCATGATGTACCCTGATCTACACCCTCACTAGTTATTATGATCATTTCTCTGTTTAAAGTTCTTTGATGGTTGTCTCCCTCCCCTTATCCATACAAATATGATTTGTATGAGGATAATTTGATTACACCAGTAATCTCATGATGGATGTTTTCTTAATCCTCAATCAGGCCAGCTTTCCATTGGCTGCAAAATAGACCCCAAAATCCATACATGAGGTGTACCACTTCTATAGCATATTAGTCTGTCATTCACCATGGGCAGCTTCAAGGTGTGATTTTTTTCTATACATATGTATAGAGCTATAAGCACTTGGCCTTTGAAGAACTCTATGCATCAGATTCTTTGATAGTCTTACCTGGCAGCCTGCTGAATCCTGATACTAAATAAAACAAAACCAGTTCAAGTAATGTTTACAAAAATACAAGCTATGTATGTACAATTCTTTAGGAGGCTTAGTGAAGAACACACTTGGCACCTGGCAAAGTGAAAGATGTGATAATTTTGGATACTACAAAAGGTAAATATTTGGACTTGAGCATTGACCCTTCAGGGAAGTCAGTGAGCTCAGCCCCTTGTAAGGTTTCATCTCGGATTTTTTCTCAATCTCATGTGCTGTAGCGGTAGCCTGTAGGAGCAGAAGTTGAGTGATGAGTCATGACTTCATGATGGTGAAGGTTGATTCAAAGGGGTCTGGTCTAAAAGGGAAGTTTTTGTACAAAGGATTTGATAATTATGTTTAATTGACTTTCTTGTATTGTATACAGATTAACAAAATTCTTTATCAACTTTGCTTGATCAATCATTGCCCTCTCGAGTCTCAACGTTCTACACATTCTCCAACTACAACTTATATACTCACATCTTTAATTCCTGAGCAAGATGATAGTGGATCAGTTCAATTCACTTTGGTCATTTCTTGTTAATCAACTTCAATCCTTAAGTTTCATTCAAGTGATCTCATCACCTTCTACTACGATTTTAGCCAATGCTCCTTCTACTACAAGTACTTCGACTATCTACGTTCAACATACTTCCCGAATTCATGCATCTTGTCCCGCTGGATTCGGTCCTCATTTTGATAATCCGGATGGTCGACTTATGCAACTTTTACCTATCGAATCTATCACTCATCCTAATAAGACAAATGATTCAAATCTTCAACTTCAGAATCATCACTTAATCGAAGCTCGTCGTGGATGTCCTCCAACTGACTTGCTTTCATTCTCATCTCACCATTTGGATCTCACCATCGACCATTCACAAATCTCATCAGGTTCACATTCAACCGTCTTAGAGCCTCCTAAGGATTGGATAGCTTTAGTAGAACGTGGTACATGTACATTCGTCGATAAGATCAGATACGCTCAATACCTAGGTGCATCAGCGGTCATTGTGGGTGATTGGGATCAATCTCCTACTTTATTCAAGACAGAATCTGGACCGATATTTTATTCAAATCCATTAGGAAGTGATAAGTTTGGTTTTGGAACAGGTTTGGTGACGATGTATGCGCCTGGTGATACTAGTGATCTAGAGATACCTAGCGTCTTTGTGGCTCGTGATAGTTATATGAGTTTACGTGAAGATTGGCTTGAACTTAATTCTCTTCAATCACCTGTTTCTTCAAATCTAATTCATGGTCAATCAGTCGATGCTCATCTTCCTCAAGCTTTGGAAGTGATCATGAGCAAAGATCAGTTATGGACTTGGTGAGTAACAATGCTACTATCGATGAGGAAGAGAAACTTATTGTGCGTCTCCTGACCTTGGTGTTAACTCTCCTTTAGGCCTTTCTTCGACCTTTTAATCATCCTACTATTTTTACCATCCATTTTGACCGCTGTCACACTCGTCCTTCATCGAATCAATTTATTCCGCAAAAGAAGAGCTGATAGGGCACCGCAAGCATTTGTTGACCGATTACCATGTGTCATCTGGGCCAAAGATATGGAAAAAGGAATCCCAGCTGGCTCTGAACTAAGCGACTGTCCAGAAGAATCAGTTTCCAGACCCAAGAACTCCGTGCTCGGACTTGGATGGATCACACATACTTGTAAAATGATTTCTAGTTGGCCAATACTTCAAAGACATAGATCTTCAACCGATTCAGAACATACCCCTCTCCTTGATCCATCTCGACCACACTTGAAAACCAATCGTTCATTACCGATTCCTAAAGTATATTTTGCTCAAAGAGAATGTGCATTATGTTTATCTGATTTTGAAATCGGGGATCTTGTAAGGATCTTACCTTGTGGTCATTGTTTTCATCAAGCTGAGATTACCAATAATTGTATGGGAATTGATTGTTGGCTTTTAAAATCAAAAAGATTGGTATGTTCAACAATTTACATTATTGAGAATGGATTGATATCTAATTCAATTTGAGATTCTCTTCTTTCTTAAGTGTCCGATTTGTCGAATGTCAATTATGGAACAAGAAAATGAAGAAGCGGTCAAACCTAGTAATACACCGATTCCTGGTCCTATGCCTATCTCTGCATCTGATATCGCTGGAAGTTCATCAAGTCCGATTCCCATTCGATCTACTCCACAAGTCCGATCACCGATACCTTCTTCGTCAAGTGTCACTCTCGATCAAGCTCGTTTGCCTTCACGACGATAATCATTTTTTGTGTTTTGATACCAAGAAGCCAGGGATCTGATTCTCTAGAGTGTGCTTTATATGCTGGATAGGCTTGCTGTTCCTCCTTTTTTGTTTTCCTGTGATTTCAGCACTCTGATACTGATAATATGGTCAAGCAACTTCAAAGATCAGAGGCAAAATCATGTACTCTATATGCGCAAGGTTTGTGTATTGAATTTCTCTTTTTTGCTTCTTATCTAAGACTTATGGTGGATAGGTAAGAAGATATATCATGTGTAAGATTAGGTTGGTTAATTGATGTTGAAGAAATTTGTTGTTGTTCCATTATCCTTGCTCTCGAATTTAACTGAATCTTTTTCAATGTGTTTTAAAGAAATATAATAAACAAATGGGTTTGTACATAAAGAAGAGAGAGCTGAATGCCTGCATCTCAGGAGTAGTTGTTTGAAGTTTCTCGAGGAGTGTAATGGGTACTATGGTTTAGCCTACTCTTGAATAGCTGTGCTTTGAAGCTGATTGGTTGGGTAATCATCAAGATCGGGATCTGATCCATAGCTTTTTATACCAAAACTGATCAGAGTAAGGCAACACCAGACCAACCTTGAGTCTTCAGGTCTGGACAAACTACCTGGGTGCAATATACTAGTGGCATTGTTTAGCTATTAGTCCTGAGCAGGTTACAAGATAGCCATTTCTTTAGCTGCACGGTGATCATCTCAAACTTGCAGGTTACTAAGGAAGTATCCAAACATACATAGTTGTTGGTAAATATTCATACACGCTGGAGACTGAATTCCTTTATATGTTGGTAGGAAAGATTGAGGGAACTGGTTTTGCTCGCATCAATGAGTAAGGTGTGTTCTCCTTTGTAAAAAAACATATCAAGTTTTAGGACATGATAGTGTGTCAAAGGTCTTGATGATTTCTCACGTGCACGGAGTTTACACAATGGTATTCAACAAAGGTTTCTGCTTATACATAGTGCCTCTTCACTCTTCCACCTAGGCTCGGGGGTGCTCAGCATTCAGGACTCAGGAGGGTCTTGGGCTTACCGGTGTACCCCGTGGGATCCGCGACAAAGTTGAGATCAGCTATACGCCCAATAGCGCCCAATACGCAATCGTGATTCGTCGAGGTAGGTCGAGATTCAATTCATGATCCAGCCAGTATAGTAGGTATAGGACCCCGGAAAGCTCCAGGTCAACTATCCGACCTAAAACCACCCAAATTGACCTTTTCAATACCCTGTGACCCGGTAAAAACCCAAAAATTGAGGTCAAACAATTCCGGTTTCGTCGGTACGTTCAAAGAGCAAAAATCGCTAAAATTTCCTCACGAAGCGAATCCATTCGTTTTTCGTCGGTATGTACGTTGAAAAGGGAGTGTTTTTGGCCTTTTTTTCCGGCCAAAGACAAATCCATACCTGTCAGGTCGGTACGTCTGAATTCAAAAAAACGGGTTTTTGCTCGAAAAAGACCCAAAAAATTCCTTTTTCGTCGGTACGTCAGCGTTTTTTTGGACCCTCGATCCATACATTTTAGGTCGGATAGTTTACCTGGAGCTTTCCGGGGTCCTGTAGGTATAGTCTTGGGAATATATGATCTATATATGGATCTCTGCACAAACTGCACCTTGATTGTCTTTATTAACCATGGTCCCGCGCTATTTGATCTTATTTGATTCGACTTTGTTATCTCTTGTCAAGCATTTGAATCAGCGCAGTGTGAAAGTGGGGCAGGGTGGTAAAAATTTTAGGTCGCATTCATTTGCAAGGAAAGGATGTGGTGAGTCTGATGATATATCCTTGACAAGCGTTGAAAGTGTAGTGACAGAGTCTCAAGTGAGCACTCTGTTCCTCGCTCGATGTTCCGGCTCCAATGGGTTGGATTGCAAACACTACAACATAGAGAGAAGAATAGGCTAACCTGTAGTGACAGAGTCTCAAGTGAGCACTCTGTTCCTCGCTCGATGTTCCGGCTCCAATGGGTGAAGAGCCGGGATATCGAGGAGTGGTACAACTAATTGTATAAGATCCCCAAACCTAAGCCCCGGGCTTTGTCGTAGACGTGGCCCCGTTCACTAACCTAACCGCCTATGGCCTCCGGCCATAACACCCCCCCCCACGGCAAGACAAAGCCTATCTCTAGAAAAGAAAAAATAGAAACAACAACGCTCACAACATCTCAAACAAATAAGCAGTAACTGCTAAATAAAACTAGAAAAAAATAAAAGGAAAATAAAATAATAAAAAAAAACAACAACAATCTCTCACTTCCTCTTCGCACACACACCCAACAATCCTCTAGCCTCTCTGAATTTCAATGGTCCCAAGGCCTTTGTGAAAGTATCAGCCAGTTGTTCATTTCCCGGTATCCATTCAAGATCCACCTTCTTCTTGTACAGCTGTTCATTGATGTAATAGAATTCTCGTTCAGTGTGTCGTGTCCGCTTATTAGCTGCGTTGTCTTTTGATACGTGGATCGATGATTTGTTGTCACCTAGGATCAGAGGAGTTCCAATTCTTGGAATGATATCTTGAATTAAAGATTGTAACCAAATCGTGTCCCGACATGCTGCACCAACCGCCATAAATTCAGCATGGCACGTGGATGTTGCAACGCATCCTTGTCTTCGAGATACCCACGCGATCGGTACCCCGTATAATCGTGTCACGTGTCCATACGTCGACCTTGCAAACTCTCCACCCCAATTGGCATCCACAAAGGTTTCCACCGCTCTCCTAACCTTAATTTTCGTAGGATTGATGTCGAGACCCATGTTGGCAGTGTCTCGAACGTAGCGCAACAGGTGCTTGATCGCATTCCAGTGCTCTGTCTGAGGCGATTTGGAGTATCGAGCTAAGAAGTTCACCGGAAATGCTAAGTCAGGTCTTGTTCCTACTGCCAAATAGCTAACTGCTCCCACTATACTAAGGTAGCGATTGCTTTCTAGCGGTAATTCATTTGTTGGCGTTGTTAGTGAAAGGTTGGGTGGCACCGGGGTCGTAGCTGAGAATGACGAGAGTAGGTCCTGGTTATCCCTTACAATCTTGTTAGCCAAATCAGATTGTGAAAGGATGAAGTGATTAGTAGCCACACGGTCAATTTGCACGCCAACAATGTGAGTCAGGTCTTTCTCCCACTTGATCTCAATCTGTGAACTCAATTCTTTTTCTATCTCCTTCAATAACTCATCTGAATCACTCGCAACACATCCATCATCCACATGCAACCAAACCAAACACATCTTGCCATTGCGACGCAGCACGTAGAAGCTTGGATCAAACTGGCTTGGCTGAAAACCTAAAGCACGTAGCTTTTCTTCCATGAACTTCCACCAACACCTCGCACCCTGCTTAGTACCATACAATGCTTTCAACAGCTTCATCACACGACCAAGTTTAAAACCAGGCGGTGACTTCACCCAAACATCGTGGTCCATTGGACTGTTCAAATATGCCGCTATCACATCAAAACCACGCACCTTCAGCCCGTAATAGGCTGCAATGACCAATACCACTCGAAGAGCAGCAAAAGTCGCCGTCGGTGCGAAAGTTTCGGTGAAATCTACCCCTTCAACTTGTGAGTAACCTTTTGCCACGAGTCGTGCTTTGAAGCGCCCGTCTCGTTTGATGGTAAACACCCATTTCAGATCAGTAAGATGTTGACCTTCAGGTGGGTCGCTCACTTCCCATACGCCCATGTCAGTAAAGCGTCGTAACTCTTCCAAGCATGCTTCCTTCCACTTCTCAGCTTCAGGTAAACGCATAGCTTCTGTATAGGACTTTGGAATGATCCCATACGGCGATGTCTGAGTTTCGACCATAAGAGCGAGAGCGTCCTGCTCCTCTACTGCATGTTCGCCATCGAATTCACCAAGGCGTAAAGCATTTAGAACATAAGCTAAACTTCCTTTGGAGTTTTCGACGTCCGACAGGGTCTCCGTCGATGTTGGCGCTGGTGTTGGTTGGGGTAGCGGAGGCCCATCAGATAAGAACCGAGCAAGAGAGGAATCAACTGTCGTTGTAACCTTGGTTTCAGGATCCCAGAAGGTCCAACCTTTCTTGCCCTTCGGATAACCAACCATAAGCATCTTCTTACCCCGTACATCTAGTTTGCGTCTTATCTCACACGGGATATGGACAATTGCAGGTTCACCAAATGTACGTAAGTAATCGAGGTGTGGTTTCCGATCGAACATCAATTCAAAAGGGGTCTTGAGCCCAGTGGCGGCGTTAGGAATTCGGTTGTGCACATGGGACGCAGCGGTGTGTGCATACGCCCACATGTCCTCCCCAAAGTTCGCTGCATGAAGCATTGTGCGGCCCATATCTGAGATTGTTCGTATGGACCTTTCAGCTGTGCCATTCTGGTGATGTTCGTAACGGTTTGTCTGATGGTTGATGATCCCACGTGCTGCACACCACGTGTTCATCGCCTTGGAGGTATATTCACCGGCTCCATCGCTTCGTAGTTTCTTCACTTTGAAGCCGGTTTGCCTTTCCATACGTTCAACAAATTCGAAGAACATCTGGGGAACTTGATCACGTTTAGCCACACATATGGACTCTGTGTAGGTAGTGGCTACATCCCTGAAATTAATCATGTAGCGTGCACCGTTTGCTGAAGGCGTATAAGGTCCGGCAACATCACTAACGATCAATTCCAGTGGTTGTAAACGCGTTCCAGAGGACGTAAGAGTTATCGAACGTAAACTCTTACTCTTGAGACAGTCCAGGCAAGTAAAAGGTGTCTTGTCGATCTTTTCGGGAAGTCCAGACACTACACCATGCTTAATCATCCTTTGGATGTTACGCATACTGGTGTGACCGAAGCGGCAATGCCATTTCAGGGCTTCGTTCACAGCCGGCGGAGCACCAATCATGGTCGCATTGGTCGTCAGAGAGGATAGGGAAGGTGGGGTGGGGTGCACGATCCTTGACGGAGGCGATAACTTGGGACAATCAAATGCCGAAGCTTTCATTACAGGAACAGTCCACCTCCTAGCATTCAAGTTTAGATCAGAAGTAACAACACCACCACACGGAAACTTGAGTTTCATCTTGCCATCCTTCGCATCCCATGATCCACCTGATTTCACTAGTTGAGGAATAGATATCAGTGTGCTGCTGGCCAGTGGCGAATAAAAGGTGTTGTGGATCGGGATAGGCTTGCCATCATCACTCCTAATGTGCATCGTCCCCGCGTGGGTAACAAACGCCTTAGGTGCCTTTGTCGCCACCGATACCGGGATCGGTCTAGGTAACATGCGGACATCAGTTAGGTATTCGAGTTTACCAGTTACCATATGGGTAGCGCCGGTGTCACTCACACCTTCATCCCCATTGTCCCACATCTCGGTCAGGGTACCCTCTGACGCCCAGATCCCATCAGGTAGTGGTCCCTCATCCTCCTCAACACCTGTGGCGTCCACGGTGAACGTCGCGCCGTTTGCATCGATCAGATTGAGGCGAAACGAACGAGGCGGTGTCGATGTCGAGGCAGTCGTAGATGATCGACTTGTTGACGGTTGTGAGGGTGACGCCGGAAACTTGGTAGGGCAGGTGTCAGACCAGTGTCCAGTATTGTGGCACACGTAGCATATACCCTGATTGTAAAGTGAGGGATGGAATTTGGAAACGACACCGGGGGCTGGCGGGACAAATTTCGGACTGAGTTGATAAGTTCGAGTTGGAGGAGAAGTAAGATGACGAGATAGAGGAGAATTAAGATTGCGAGATTGAAATTGAGGTGAGTGGACAAAAACACCTCTGCCTCTCGACGGTGTCGCGGCACGATATAGGGAGCCCGTATTACCAGCTCCACGTCTATTCATGGTAGGCGAGGCGTTGAATGCGTTGGCGTTGAGATCTAATTGACTGAAGGCTGGAGTAATGTTATCGGTATTGTGAATTTGTTTCTCGGCACGGATTGATTCTTCCACCTCACGAGCAGTGATCGGGTTCGTTGGAGTAGCACGGAGTCGAGCGTTCAAGGTGTTGTTGACGTTGGTGAAAGCATTACCGAGTCCAATTTGATATAGTACACCGGTAATTGCGTCCTTGGACCATTCAAAACCAGAACGTTCAAGATCCGATATCTTCTCGTCGATCTTGCGGAAATAGTCACCAATGTCCGATACATCATCATATTTAATCTCCAACACTTCTTTCCAAGTAGCCATATGACCACTACGACTGGGAAAGAAAAACAGAGCTCGGATGGTACGGAAAGCATCTTTAGCTGAGCCAGACAAGCGACGTTGAATTTCGAAGGGCACCGTGAGTTCGATCATCGAGTAAACAACAGCATCACCATCGGGATCGGACGACTTCATCCCATCTTTTGAAAGATAATCAGTCGTTTTTGTCACACGATCCACGCAACGACCAATCTTGAACTCCCATTCGGCATAATTTGAACCGTCTACTTTAAGAGTATCGACGGAGCCTTTAACGTAAGTAGGCATAGACAGTTGGAATTTGTTGGAACGGTAGTCTTCGACAGAGGCAGCATGAGTTTGATGAGGGGGTGGTTGACGCATGCCCGGTGGAGCAGCAGGGGGAGGTGGTCCGGCATTCGACATTGTCGATTGTGATTTAATAGTCTTGCTGCGTTGGAAAATCCTTCGAATCTCCAAACGAGTAGCAGTCGAATATTGTGTAACTCGAGGAGTAGGTTCGAAGAGTAGACCTTTCGGAGCGAAGAAAGGAACTTGCGAGAGAGGTGTGGGCAGAGGGTTAAGTCGGCGATTATGGAAATAAGGTTGCGGGGGCGAATGAAGAGATAAAAGTGAGAAGCGAAAAATAAAATGTAATCTGTTGATAGGTATAGGGGGATATAATGAATCGGAAGTTGGGGGGTATACTGAAGGGGTAATCGGTCTTAAACCGGGATGACGTTTTAGATTTTCTAATACTTCAGGATGTTTCTTTATAAATGTCGGTAATTCAATATCGCTTTTCAGTAATACTTCGTCTTTAACTTTCTCTTTCTTCTTGTATGATCGCTTTGCTATTGGTTTCGCTTCCCCGTAATCTTTCCTTCTTGTTCGCATGAAACTGTGACTATCGGAATTCGCTCACGCAGTGGCAGTGCGGGCTCATAACCTGTAGTGACAGAGTCTCAAGTGAGCACTCTGTTCCTCGCTCGATGTTCCGGCTCCAATGGGTTGGATTGCAAACACTACAACATAGAGAGAAGAATAGGCTAACCTGTAGTGACAGAGTCTCAAGTGAGCACTCTGTTCCTCGCTCGATGTTCCGGCTCCAATGGGTGAAGAGCCGGGATATCGAGGAGTGGTACAACTAATTGTATAAGATCCCCAAACCTAAGCCCCGGGCTTTGTCGTAGACGTGGCCCCGTTCACTAACCTAACCGCCTATGGCCTCCGGCCATAACAGAAAGGAGGGGCTTTAGCAGCTGGACGTGATCACAGAGCGGACCGATGCTGGAAAAGCAAATCAAAATATAAATACATCCCACATCGTAAAAACTCCTCAAAGTCTTGTAGGTTTCGCGTTTGCACAGTTGCGTGTCGGAGAAATCTCCCTACCTATCATATCATATCCTCTTGGTGTGCCTTCTTATCTCAACGCTTCTTGAACGCATATCCATACTCATTTTTATTCTTCTGATGAACCTGATTCGGGATTGTCTATCTCTTTTGTCTCAGAACTTTCGTCCTCAAAGAATCAGCGTAATATTCAACAGCGATGCCCGCTGAGAATATCATAGTGAATCAATTTATATTCTGTCGTGACCATGGCTTGGAGTGTTGCCCCAACTGCGTTTGTGATCACAGGGTATCTAATAATTCGGTCATAGAGAAGAAGCTTTCCGCCTTGTCGTTTTCGAAAGGTAAAAGCGTCTGCGATTTAAAAGTAGGTTATAACCCCAGTCATGACTTGCTTTGAGATGCGTTGATTTGACCGTTCGAGCTTTTTTCAGCATCGACCATCGATCAACGTATATATCATTGGGGCCGCACCAGCTTTTGCAAGTGAGGATGATAAACATACTCCACATCAATGTCGTAATCATAGCACTATCGATTGCTCCGTTTGTTATGCATGGGAAAAGATAGTGGCCACCCTTATGTAGTCAGTATACAAATAAAATACCAAGAAAGTCACTCAGAGGTTGATGTCAAATCCCTTCCTTTGGTATACTAGACGTTGAACGCACGTAACGTCTGATAGACTTTCAGCTTTTGTTAGAGTGGGCCATTAGGAAAACGCGGAATAAATTGCATCAAATCCTTTTTTGTCATCGTCTTTACCACAGGTTATCATCTCTATCCAATACCTTTTACGTCAGCGTCTTACGTCATTTTGGAGGTCATCAGCAGCTCTTCTCCATGACCCTCTACCCATTCACACATGTGAATACCTAAATATATCTTCTTGTCTATGCTGGTCAGTAGATTTTTGATGAATTGTGATGTGAGCTCGATGTGAGCTTGAAACTTGCATGGAAAGTACGCTAGAATCGGTATATCCTACAAGTAGTACATAGTTTACACACATAAGTCATCACCATTAGCCGGACATCAAACTGGACGAGAAAGTTGCTAAAGGATGGCTCGAGTGGCAAAATATTGCCCGTCCTTGGACAGCAGATCCTCGAGAGTGACTCCATCTGACAATGGATTGAATTCATCTATGAATTTCTTCAAGGCTTTCCTTGCCATTTTTTCAACTAAAGACCAGAGATTTACGACGTGACCCCCGTAGCTGGATTCGGTTTATCCTTAGGCTCCATGGGACTCCCAGATGCTGTCGTGTACTTGCATACCTAGGGACATTTCATGTTACAGCGCGCTACTATTCGCTAGATCTAGTCTATCTTCCTAAATTGCACAATGGAATCGCACAAATTCGATCACCGGAAAGAAAATTGATAAAATTCTACATTTGTTGTTCTCTTCATGACCCATATGGAAGCTTGACTAATGATAATCAAGAGAATGGAATGTTGGCTAGTCGGCTTGGAGGCAAGGCTGACAGACGATTTTAGAAGAACAATCGCAGCTACATAGCTAGCGTCAGCCTTTAAAGGTATCCTTCCTTAACTTGTCTTTCAGAAAGAGAAGAATGTGACGGGAATGGAATTGGCTTTTGGCTAGCTCATCTTTCAACAATCCCCTTATCACGTGATTTGATTTTGATTTCTATTCAGAGTTTGGTCATGTCGGTGGAGTTATGTGTATACCTTTAACACTAGGCAAATGGGTGCGAAAAACCGT